TACTCGGAGCTTTTAAATTACAAAATATATTAAAATGTACACATTTTTATTGTAAACTAGTTATTGTCAGCGACTCAGCTCTCGTACTGTATGTAGTTGGTACTCACGGCATTTTTATATATATGTAAATCTTATATTTTGTTTCCAAGGAGTAATTAAACCACTTTTAGTGGATCTCCGTACATTTTTAATTGCTTCGTCAACTCCTGAGAGTAATCTGCATAATTGGATTATACTGGCAATCTCTTAAAATTTAACAAGTTACCTTTTGGTAGCGGAGAAAATATTTTTTTTTGTAAGAGAGATTATAGCAGTACCTATAAGTAACTTCTGTCCTCAATGTATAGATATAGCGTATAAGATCATCTGCTGTGGTTGATCGTGTATGGATGGCGTTTGGCATGAATGAATGGACAGCAAATTGAAAACATAAAAGATCATAAATACAAGATTTATTATTTCCCAGCAATCCTTTATGAACATGTTCTGTAAAGAAAGTTCGGAATAAAAGAATACGAAGAATTGCAGAAAATGAAGAAATATTATTAAGTAGGTATGTGATAATTGTTCTGTTAGAACCAACTTTTTAATTAACAAAAACGTCATATTACTGTATTCCTATTCTAAGAAATTATATCTTTTGAGGACGTAATAATTTTTGTGTTAAGAAATAGAAAATACACATAGAGAAGTAAAATCAATTAATTTGTTAAGAGCATTAAAACAAATCGTCTCTTTCTGATTCAATCAGCATATTACCCACATGTTTGTAGTACTAAATTATTATATAAGCTTAGAACTCAAAGGCACTTATTAATACTCTGACATATGTAGATATGAAATACCTGTATACTACTGTTGTATAGACGCGGGTGCTAATCAATACTAATTAATAGTTATATAAAATCTATACATATAATAAAATTGTAACTAAGCCAAATCTGTACCTAAAATATTTTTTGGAAAATCTTATTAAAATAGACATTATTATCGATACAGAGGCCGAATCTATAGTTTTTAGAATTTTCTGTCTTTTGTCTGTGTGTCTGACTGTCTGTTGCTGTATCACGGAAAAACTATTGGAGGGATTTTGATGAAATTTGGTATGGTGATAGCTGGTTATCCGGGTCAACACTCAACATATAGGATACTTTATACCGCAGAAAAATATCTCATTTTTAGAAAAAATACAAAAACTGCAATCTAAGAGTATACTAATACGTAAAACCTAAGAACTTGGTTTTGGTCATCTGAACGCGGGCGGAGCCGCGGGCAATGCTAGTTCTTTTATATAATTAGTATACATTAGCATCTTCTTTATGTACGTTTCAACAGATTTAACTGAACATCTATTCAACAGATTTCTATGAAACTTTATTTGATTTTTATTTAGGTATCTTTATTTAATTAGGAGCAGTAGAGCTATGACTGTAATGCTGCCGGTTGCGCGGGCAATACTTTACATTATTTTTAAAGAATTTTTTAACTAATCCTAGCCGTATTTATCGTATGTATATAAAAATCGATGTGTCTTTGTGTGTTCCCTATAGACTCTAAAATTGCTGGAACGATTTTGATAAAATTTCCAGGCAATTTCTAAAAAACTTCAGATTAGACGAGCGGGTGATTCTGTGAAGCTTGGTAGCGATGGGAAGTTTGAACGCAGGCGAAGCCGCGGGTACTGATAGTTGAACTATATTTCTGTTTGTTCCTTCTTCATGCTGAAACGGCTAGACCGATTTGGATGTAGTATGTAAATGGATTATGAGCCGGAGTAAGTAATAACATGGGCACTGTTAGGCACCTAGTTGATCAAAAATGCGAAATATGCATAAAGAACAAATTTAATCCAAACATAACAGCTATAATATTATGTTCGTATTAAAATTATTAATTATGTTTTATATAAATTAAATATATAATATGTACGTTTTAATGTAGATAATTAGCTATAATATAAACTACTGAGTAGTAACAGGTACCGCACAGTCATAATAAAGTTAAAGCTTTGCATAGGAAAACCTTATATAAAGTCGGTAAGTATTAAGTAAGGAATATTTAACACCGTTTTTTAACACCTTCATGGCGATATATAGTAGATGATGTTTAGTTTTATTTTTACTATTAGGGATATAGCTAACTTAGAGCGATTTATATTCATAAAAAATCTAGCCAATTTCTGCTAAAAATGTCACACCTATCTGTAAAATATCATTAACATTAAAATTGAAGACAATCTTTATAATGCAGGTGAAGAGTGTAGGTATATCAATAGTAAGAATCTCTGGAGAATTAAGTTGCTGCTTAATTTGATGAAGAGTACACTACAAAGTTCTACATATAGGACTTGCTCAGATCTAATAATTAATCAGATTTAATATTGCGCAACCTATATGTTGAGTGGATTTCCCTTACTCGAAGTGCCTAAAGTTTTAAATAAATAATAAAATAAAATGTCAAATAAATCCTTAGAAAGTTATAAATATTTCAAATTTATGAACCTTATATTATTGATGTGCACATGGGTTTTGGATATTTTTGTATTTTTTCCACGGAAGATTAAACATTTTTATGAGTCAATCTGGCGAGCTAAGTGCCTTCTTTCTGCTTTTGGTTATAATCATGTCATTTATAATTTTAATTTGCGTAAGTTACATTTTGGTTGTTTTTTTTTTATTTGAATTAATAAATGCATTTTCATATAAAGTTATTAGTATAACTATATTTTTTTTGTAAATTAAATCTGTAGTTAATAATAAAACCCTCTAAAGTTGGAGAGACAGCGTAAGCTATAACAGATAACTTAAAGCACAGATATCCTCAAACCAATCCTCCGGATACGGAACCCTAAATAGAACAATAAGATCATCTATCTTGTGATTTTACGATGGCAATGCACTTTATATATAGCAGATTAATAGCAATTGTCCACGATCAATCTTATATAAAAAAATAAAATAAAAGATTCTGTACAGCAAAAAAGTAAGGCGTAGGCGTTGCTTAGATAGCAATGAGCATGTTATTTAAAAGTTATCATCCGCCAAACTCATGTATCATAAGCTAACCTATTACTGTTAGGTGTATTTATGTAATCGATTTTATTGAATAATTTATAAGTACTTTGTAAAGTAATTGTTAGGTCTACACTTTGTTTTCTACATTATATTATACTAGCGCTGTCCGCCCGCGTTCGATGACCAAAAACCAAATTCTTAGGTTTTACATATTAGTATACTCTTACATTGCAGTTTTTGTATTTTTTCTCAGAAATGAGATATTTTCCCGCGGTAAAAAGTATCCTATATGTTGACCCGGACAACCAGCTATCATCATACCAAATTTCATCAAAATCTGTCCTGTGGTTTTCTCGTGATTCGGTAACAGCTCGACAGATAGACAGACAGACAAAAATTCTAAAAACTATAGACTCTGTATCGATAATAATGTCTATTTCAATTAGATTTTCCAAAAAAACTACTAACTCGACAAAACTAGTTATTATGTTTCCCGTGGAAATGAAAGGTTTTCCTGTAGTAAAATGTATTCTAAATGTTGACTCGAGTAATAAGTAACACTACACAAAATTTTGTTAAAATCAAGTACTTTTTGCGTGAAATGCACACCGATGTGATGATGATGTTCTCCTAGCCGATTCCGGCCACGGCGGCCAATCTCAATGAGATTAGCCAACTGCGCAGGAGATATTATAGTGCTCAAGTGTACGCGCAGACACAAGTGCACTCTCTATTCCTATCACTCTCATACTTCGGTGGGACGACCACTCGACACGACCGGTGAGAGTTAAGGCGCAGGACCGACGGCTTTACGTGCTCTCCGAGGCACGGGGGTGAAACACCGCCAACTTCCCAACTCCGGGCTGTTACTGAGACTTACTATACAGGAAGACTCAATAACTAAACTTGGCCCGACCCGGGACTCGAACCCAGGACCTCCGGGTGTGCAGCCGTACATGCTAGCCACTACACCACCGAGGCAGGCACCGATGTACAGACACATAGACATGCAGACAATCAAGAATTTAAATTACTATTGTTTTGGGGGTCATTATTGTATTACAATATAGAATACGTTATAGTCACTGTTTTTAAAAAAATATTTCAGGTAGGTACATGTTATGCTTTGTTTCCATTTTATTACATATCGTGAAATACCATATAAACTATCAATACTATTGTTTACTTTTTAATGGGAATATTTAAATTTTGGTGAATTAGAACCCTATTATCTTACTTCTTAGGACATTTTATTTCGATTTTAAATTTTAGTAGAATCACAAAGTTTGAATTGTATATTAAATTCCTATTAAAATACTGTGCCAAAAGAATAACTGTAAAAAAACGAGTATGGTCATAACATTAACATTTTGCGTGTCGTAGCGCTTAGCGGTGTTTGTGAAAAACTTTTTTAAATATTTAAAGGAGATACATTTTTAAAGATTTCATTAATAAAGCATTTATTTAAATAATTATAACAGGCTCTTTATCTATATCATGAGAGAAACCGGATAAAACGTTTGGAAACTGAGGTTTTTAGGTCAGATTCATAAATTTTGACGGATACGTCTAGAATTTAAAAAAGGCGTCATTCGTGTTTTCCATAAATATCAACAAATCTTGGAAGTAAACCGTTTTTTAGTTATTCCATATTTTTCATTTTGCTAGAATTTACCCAGTAACAGGTCTTTATTTTTAGTTTAATGCTTGTTACACCTACCTTTGACCACCTACTTAGATGTTCCACTTAAGTATTAGCCAAAACTCATAATGTTTGATGTTATCTTAGGGTCACCCGTAAAGAGGACAATGACTTGATAATTTAACTCCTGCACGCTGAGTTTCTTTTTTTGCAACTGAGTAACTGATAACATATTTTTAAGGAAAATATATTTGTATTGAGCAAATTGAATTTAATCGAATATTCATGTACGGCAAGACATATTTTGATAATATAAAGCAGTTAGTTATAAATTATGAAAATCAAAATTTAAAAATTTCTATGTCCGAGTCAGGACTGTCTTCAATTCCATCTTCTAAATGAATGATCTTTTCTACGTTTTCGTTGAACGTAACAACAGATTTTCTTGGTTTTTGCTTTTGTTTTTCCCCGAATTCATCATCCTCTTCAGACTCGTCCGCATTGTCTTTCAGTTTATCGATTGACTGTATAACTATAGGCATTTCAGGTGTGGAAAAGTTTACTATTGTTTCACGTGATGGCGGTGGTTCTATTTGATTGCTTCCTTCTTTTTCAGGTTCCATTCTAACATCTTGAATTGGTATGTCGAGCATTTCTTGAAGTCTCCTTTCACTTCTCTTTAGTTCACTAATATTTAGCCTGGGTTTTGTTATATTTTCAATTTTAGGAAATTCGACAGTGTCATTACGCGATAACACACTGTTACGATCACTAAATTGCTCGTAGTTTTGTGTTTTCCTCCTGCAATAAAAATATTTTTTTAAGTTTATATGTTCATAAATATAAAAATAAAACTAACAATAATTTTCTTACCATTTTAAGAAAAACCATAACGCTATTGCTAAAATTAATATGAGTAACAGGACTGCAAGGATTATGGTAGCCACTAAGAGAGCTATGCCTTGAACTGGACATATTTCGATAGTTTCGAGATGATCTTGAAGTGATAGTGCACTCGCTACATTTACTGTCACTATATTATTGTTAGTGATATCACTGAAAAAAATAATAATATGATTATTATATGACATGGTTTTATTATTTATATTAAATTAAAAATAAGATAAATTGTTAAATTTATACTCTTAATCTATATGAAATTTGGTAAGAAGATAGTTTGAGACCCTGGAAAGGACATAGGATACTTTTTATCCCGAAAATCATTCTTTGAGGGGGTGAAAATGGGGATGAAAGTTTGTATTTGAAAGCAAGCTAGGGACGAACCCGAGCGAAGCAAGGGTGATTCAGTAGTACCTACATAATAATTTACTAATAAGAAATAAAACAATAGTAGGTACGCTCTTGCTCTAGTTTTTTGCACCACTCTCTCTCAAAACTTTCAAATTAAACAGACTTGTTTACTTTAGTTAAACACTCAATTATATTCCCTAACCCCTCCTTATAACATTAACTATCTGCCATTGAAAGTCCCGTCAAAATCGGTCCAGCAGTTCCGGAGATTAGCCGGAACAAACGTACAGATAGACGGACAAAAATATTTTTTATCAGTACCGTATATAATTTCATATGCAATTAGTAAAAAAGCTGCGATTTTGACATAAGCAGACCCATCAATTTTATTTATTTTTATTGATTAGATATCGTTTAGGTAGTCGATAAAGCAATTCGTCAACCAACTTTTTCGACTTCAATTAAATATTATATTTTCTGACAGGAAACAATTTTTATCGGAATAAAAATAGCCTTTAGCGCTCGGCGGTAATGTAGGTAGGTACTAATTACTAATGTAGTACCCATTAGTGTAGAATTTCAGAATCGGATCAATAGTTTCAGAGATTATCCCTAACGTACAAATTTACAAGCTTACAAATATTACCTTTATATAATATAATAATTATAGATTTATATGAAGGTACTATATGAATATTATGATACATAAACACATTTATTTGCATTTCAATATACAAAGTATTAAAGATAATAGTTAATTCACACTAAAGTTAAAGCTCATTATCGCAATAATTAATTACGCTCTAAAATAATTTATAAATGAAGATTTTTAATTATTTTCAATATGTGAATGGCTAATGCCGACAACTTATTCTTTCGTATTTTGGCCACACAATGCGCAGAGGCGACCAAAGTCTGGATAAACTCATTGTGGTTGGAAATACCGAAGGCAAAAGATTGCGCGGTCGTGCTTCAATAAGATGGACCGACCAAATTAAAGAATCGTCATCGAAATTCCAAACGGTGGTAAGAGACGCGCTGGAGAGAAACCGGTGGAGGCAAATCATCCGCTCCAGATGCAACCCTAACACTGACCACGATCTTCAGACATGAGGGACCGACCCCAGAGAGAGAAAGAGAATGGCTTATTTATATAATGTATGTGTATCAAAGTTTCTATAGGTATAATATATTCAATATATTTCAATTAAGTATGTTTACAATGTGATAGGCTAATAATATTTTACAATATTTCTGTAAAGAACAATTAACTAAAAGAACCTTATTAAAAAAAATAACAGACTTTCTAAAATAAAAACTGCTAATAAAAAGTAAAGAATAATTGATTGTTAGTTTTTATTTATGATAGATACCTAATCAAATATTTTCGAAGGCAGTGCCAGCCGACACAAAGCAAAGCAAATCTATTTCTATACGTACATATAAATACATCACAAATTGATGTTAAATATTTTAACTATAATTAGAGTTCATATCTTGTCATATTTATCTATTAGATGTTTATATCTTAAAGCATTATCGGCTGGCATCGACTTTGAAAATATCTGATTAGGATCTGTAGTAAATTGACACTACCACGTACCTACGTAGTTTTTTTTTGAAGTTGATTTAATTTTTTCGTAATTTTTAGTTACACGTTTTACTCCATATCATAAAGACTACCAAGGTGTGTGTGTGTGTGTGTGTGTGTGTGTGATGCCAAGATGTGGAATGAGGTGCCTGCGTCTGTTTTTCCGAGTGCGTATAACCTGAACCTATTTAAGGCGCGTGTTAACAGGCTTCTCCTGGGCAAACTCGCTAGATCGTAGACCTTATCTGTGCCTTCGAGCTTAGATGACGGTCAAGAGTGAGCCCATTTCTAATAAAAAAAAAATCCAAACCGATTTTGATGAAATCTTTACTATTCTTTAAATTGAAATAAGTATAAGCAAATAAAAATCATCACGATTCGATGACTAGTTGGAGTTTTAGTAGGAGAAATGCGTGGACAAACATACATACATATTACATACATACATACACCTATAAAATTTTGTATGTTTGTTTGGAAGCCCAAATATATTATAACATGTGAATATTTTGCAGTTTCAATAATATTACATACGTGTCGAATTGATAACCTCCCTTTTTTTGAAGTCGGTTATAAATCAATAATAATTAAAAACAGAAAGTTCTCTTTCACCATGAAATTTAAAATTTGAGTTCCGATTGGTACGTCCTATATTTTTGTATTAACGAGGCTTAATATAAATGCTTGTAAGGCTACGTATATTGGCATTACAGAACATATATTCAATTGCTAACACTTAACGTGTATAGACGACATTAAGCCTTGTTGTGGTTCTAACATGATAAGGTTAAGAAATTCGACAAAATATCGTGTTATTATTAAAAAAATACGCATTTACCTAGTTAGTTTAGTAACATCGACTGGTTTATTTTCTTCCACCCCATAAACATAAAGCTGCAATGATGCACCAGATCCACTTGTTACAGCACGTTCTTTTCTTAGAGTATTTTCATTACTTTCAGATACTACAACAGTTCTTAATACTTTTAATTCATATCCAATAGCTGTGCTTAGGTCACCTATTACTATATTTTCATCATCTAAAAACGCATCTTGAATAGTCACAACAGCAATTTGATGTTTATCAAGTAGCATCACCTGAAATTAAAAATGGAAAAGTTATATAAAACTAGCGGCTCACCCTCGCTTCGCTCGGGTTCGTAGAAAAGCACAAGCAGCTGTATCCCACGGGAACCGTCTATTTTTTCGGGATAAAAAGTAACCTGTTGTTTGACAATATAAGGTATCAGCATACCATTTTTTACTAAATTAGGTGCACAAATTGTTGTGTACTAAGCTGTATAGCTTCGTTCTCGCGACTGGTTACTATAGTTTTTTGACCATCCCACGGGAACTTTTCAATTTTCCGGGGTTAAAAGTATCTAAAATTTTGACCGGGGATATAAGGTACACATGCCACCACCACCATGCAAAATTTTATTTAAATTGGTTCAACAGTTTCGGAGATTAGCCCGTACAAACAGACAAACAAAGAGTCAGAGAAACAAAAAAAAAACTGGATTTGTTCTATTTCTCTTCTTATATCCCCCTGTTGTAAAAACCGAGTTTTAGCATTTTTTTTCTATGAACAGACATTCGACCTCTACAGTTTTATTATACCTATGTATAGATTAGGTGAAGTTAGTTAAGAAGCTTAATTAAGGACCGTCGGGTGTATGGAGACGGAGAATCCACCACTCGACACGGACATGGTCCCCGGACGAGGAGATGTGCTTCTGAAAGTGATCCCAGCACATCGTCCTGTCGATTTGTTTGGCAGTAGTGGAAGAATTTGTGGAGAGTCTAAATTTGGTTAGGAGAGCTCGACATCGAGCGTCGCTGACAGGGTCGCGGTCGATGGCGCAAGCGATCCTGTGGCCCTGTCTCTTGCGATCGGGATCACCGTGGTGGTTTTAGCGGGTAGTCTATCGCGCTTCTCGCGACAGGAGTCCCACATACCCCGCACGCCCCCCGCGCACGGGCACCCGTAAAGGGTTTTCCCCACGAATAAAAAAAGGTTAAGTTACCTACTTCTCGCAATATTTAACTTATATTAAGTTAAAATCAATGCAAATCTATATGAAAATACAAAAGCCTTTTATGAATAATAATCGTAAACGTCAGGAAAAATAATTAGTCATCTTATTTAGACTTGACATTAAGATATAAAACAATATTTATTTTAAAAACAGTGTGTGTCAAACTGCCTGTTAACTCCACTGTAAACAATATAATGTTTAAACGGTTGAGGTCAGCCACTTAAAATTTGGTAATCATTGTTCCTTTATACTGAAAAATTAAAAACTGAGTGGGTACGGTACTTAGAATTTATTTGTTGGCCATTTTATAGAGTTTTTTTATACTTATGTACATATATTATAATCTATACATATAATAAGGCAGTGGTAGCCCAGTGGTAACGCGCTCGCTTGGGAAACCGACTGAAGCGGGTTCAAATCCCGGGTCTCGCACCTCTATCCATATTTTCATGTGTAAATCATTTCTAACGTGATTACCAAGTGATAAAGGCAAGTGCCTTACGGTGAAGGAAAACATCGTGAGGAAACCTGCATGTCTGAGAGAACCTAACAAGTTTTCGATAGACATGTGAAGTCCGCCAACCCACACTTGGCCAGCGTGGTGGACTATGGCCTGATTTGGAAGGGAGGCCCGTGCCTAGCAGTGGGACATTAAAAAGGGCTGAATACATACATATAATAAAACTCTAAGTCGAATTAGACATTTTTTTTGGAAATTCTTATTAATATAGTCATTATCATCGAGGCCGAATCTATAGTTTTTATAATTTTTGTCTGTCTGTCTGTCTACCTGGGAACGCATCCTGAGAAAACCACTGGATAGATTTTAATAAAATTTATATGTAGGATATACTCTTTAATGCAGGAAAATATCTCATCTCGGAAAAATCTATACTAACTGTTAAAACGTACCTACGTACGGACGAACCCGAGCGGAGCGAGGGTGAGTGTCTAGTTTTATTTATAATATTTAAATATTCCTTGTTGTAGAGCTTATTGTTTATTTGCTTGATTGACTTAAAATGTTCATGAGTTTAGTAAAGTAAAACCTTCTTCTGAAAGTCTGATCACTTAAAATTTAGTAAAGAAATAATAGCAGAACACAGGTCATTAACAAATAAACGTATATACGTATAAAATATAGCAAGATTTACTTTGACGCTAATAAGTAATTAATTTTATCTTTAAAACATCTATCTTAACATACATAAAAATTGAAAAAAGGGCCTTGCACCGTCTTATACGTAATATATTTTGTATAGATTGCAAGACGTGCTGCACTTGATAAAACAAAGATTAGATTAATGTGTACACGTCCTTGAATGCATTTGCTTTTTTTTCAAGCATATAAAATGTCAGTATTAGTAATCTAATTCATCAATTGATTTATGTTTTTTTGATAAATTTTAAAATATATCATTTAAAATATCCTTTTGGAACTTACTTTTAAATTATAAATACCTTGTTTTTTTTTTAATATGGTGGACTAACGGTAAATATTTTATACTGTGATGAACAAGATTATATGTATGAACAAGAGAATTTTATCAGACACTCCCAACTAGATCTCGTGCGAGTAGTAGGTAGGTAATATGCAAACCTGGTTTTATTACCATTGTCCACTCCTACCAAAAACGGCATTACTTGAGTACCTAATCATGAACAGTCGCGTGGGGTCAAAGTGACGCTTATGGTTAGTCTTTTTTTGGCACAAAAACAAGTTTTGCCAACTTTTAAAATGTATAATATTGTCGGCTTAAGTGGCTTTACCGCTATTAGAACTGGTTTAGTTAAGGGTTTAACATTGAATTTTCTTCTTGTTGAACGTTAAATTCTATACGTTTCAATAACTATAGTACTTACAGCACAGCAAGAATTGTTAGAGCTTGCAAAATAAGAGTTTATGAACAACTTGTGTTAGTAGTTGTCAGTTTTAACATCTGACTTCGCTCGCAGTTTAAGTTAGGCCATATGAACCAAAGAGCTCACTCAGTTGAAAAATTTATATAAAAAAATTGCTACTTAGTTTACTTAATATATCAATATAAGTGGAAATTAATATATTATAAGGAATAAACATTCTGTATTTTTTTAATGTTTAGTTGGCTGTATGTGCACCATTTATTAGAAATTTAAGCTCCTAAGCTTAAGTCTAGTGTACCACGTAATAAAATAGAAATACGTAAAAAAAAAGATTTCGACGAATTGAGAACCTCCTCGTTTTTGGAAATCGGTTTAAAAACGTACGCATGCAAATCCATAAATATTATAAGTCATAGTAATATTCTGGTTGAGTTTGTATATTTATCATTTTTTTTTAATTTATGTAATGCCTCTTTTACATACTCTTTGTTTGGGATAGAATGGAAGCATTAGCAAAGATTTGAGCCTTTAGTCTGTCTTTTTCCTTTAGGATGTTTTTCCTTATTCGAGATTGAAGAATTTTAAGAATTTATTAAAACTTATTACTTCGAACTTAGAATCATTTCAGTTAATTCTTATATTCATATATAAAAATAATCAACGAATTAAATTAAAAATATGTATAACTAGCGACTCACCCTCGCTTCGTTCGGGTTCGTCCCTAGGATGATTTCCCATACAAACTTTTATCCCCATTTTCAACCCCTTAAGGGATGATTTCCGGAATAAAAAGTATCCTATGTCCTTCCCAGGGTCTCAAACTATCTTCTTACCAAATTTCATCTAAATAGGTTCAGTAGATCCAGAGATTACCCCCTACAACGTCACAAACTCACAATTCACAAACTTTACCTCTTTGTAAAATTAGTATAGATATAATGTGCGTGCAAACTTGCAGGCAGGAAGTGGGTCTATTAAATACATTAAACTAAATTTTTATACTTAGCATCACGTTTTTAAAAACTGGTATGGTTATTTCTAAACTTGTTTCTTTTATTATCAAATAGATATAAAAAATATCGCACCGAGGTTGTACATTGAAGGTTTCAATAATTAATGTTTTTTTATGGTTTAGAAGGAGTCAATGCATAAGGACTTTTTTAAGTGATTTGTTTATTTTTTTGGTTTTAGCTGTTACCGACTGCTCGAACTCATGACCTCTTGATCTCTAGCTGTACATGCTAAACACTAGACCAACGAGATAGTTAAATAAAAACTAAAGATAAATTATGTAACATGAATATTTTATATCATAAGTTATATAAAAATTGAGGTAAAGTTTAGTGGTAGTTAGTACGACCACTAAACGTTATTACTACTACTGTAGTAGTAAAATGAAAAAAAAAGCCGATGTAAGAAAAAAGTATTTTTTCTCACTCATAGTAATTTCAAATCACATGATGGCGTTTTTATCTATTAGTCACAATACAGGTTATGGATACATTGGTAACATCTGCATAGCTTTTTAGGTCACATTTATTTCAACTTAATTTATACTAATTTTCAATATGAAACCTATCAACCTTTAACTATTAAGTGCACATTTGCTATGTATGTGTAGTGTATGTGTATTGTATTGTATTCAGCTCTTTTTAACGTCCCACTGCTGGGCACGGGCCTCCCTTCAGCACGAGAGGAATCAGGCCATAGTCCACCACGCTGGCCAAGTGCGGGTTGGCGGACTTCACATATCTTTCGAAAACTTCCTAAGTTCCCTCAGACATGCAGGTTTCCTCACGTTATCAGTGTATGTGTACTGTTGCTTAATTAATAAATACACAATGTTCATTTTTAATTATTGTTAAAGTTCTCATGTGACGATCTTTTTAATTCAAATATCTTCGAAACTTCATACTTTAGAGCATCATATAAAATATATTTTTTATTTATTCTTTTGATCAGTTTCATCGTGCGCAATAACGTGAAAAAAAAAAACAAAAGGGCTGTTGGCAGCGCTACAAAGGTTCTGCATCTCATTACGACATAAAAGTGAATAGCTTTAATAATATTAAAGCCTTAATTTAATTTACCTCAAAAAATGTAGACCTATTTCTTAAAACTTGTGAGCTCACTGAGCTCCCTTTAACGCCAGACTAAAGTTCTCAGAATTTTATCCTTTTATGCGACACTACTAACGAGCGTACCTATTAATATATTGTTTTTTGAAAATAATGTCCTCTATTTCCGGTTAAAAATATATTTACTTTTTAAATCTGATGACGTTTAAAACTTATTTAATGAAAAATTTCTTCGGATCCGGATTTCCTCAGGTAGTGGAGAAAGTGGTTATAGTGAATTGCCATAAACTAATGGAAAGAAACGTTAGTGTGAAGTTGCCTACGATCTAAATATTTATATCCGGTTGATCCCAAAATTTATTTGAACCAAATATCCTCAAAAAATTCGTAGGTACTTATCCAAATATTTTGCGCCATTAAGCATCTAACTAAATGCTTAAAGGTAGTGTAACATATTTGTGCATATATTTTATTACGGATTATTATATATTTACATACATACCACAAAATCCAAATTGCCGCTTAGACCTCTCCCATTCTGATCTGTGGCGATTACAGTTAGGCGCGAGTTGTTTAGCAATTGAGCATTATTACGCACATGCACCAAGCCCGTAAGAGGCGCAACCGCCAGAACATCTTCCGAACTAGAGTAAATAAGGGCTGCATTCTCGCCGATATCAGCATCAGTTGCCTGTGGGTAAATTTAAATGTAAAGTCATTTCTATTACCAATAGTACATTATTGATTATTATAAAATTCAAATATTGGTTTTTAATTAGCAAAAATGGTAACATGATTGAGCTTTAAGACAGTATTGATGAAGCACGCAGTTTTTACCAGTTTCTTCACCTATTTCTTTCGTTTGTTTTTGATAGCACTCTGCAGTAATGTAGCTATTTATTATTAAACGAATTTTCAGAATCAGATTAGGAGTTACAAAGATTACCCCTTACAAACAAAGTTAATTACAAATTTTACCTCTTTGTAACTTTAACTTAATAGCACTCGGCGCTATTGTAGCTTCTTTTTAGTAAAAGAATTTTCAGAATCAGATTAGTAGTGCTCTGGCTATCCCCTACATACATTAAAAGCAATTTCATTAGTATAGATGAAATTGTTTTTAATTTTAAAGTAATTATTCTATACAAGCGGCTCACCCTCGCTTAGCTTCGGGTTCGTCTCTAGACAAAAACAAATCTATCCCGTGGGATGACTGTAAATTTTTCCGGGATAAAAAGTAACCTATATGCTATAATTCTAGGCTATAATCTATCTCTGTGCCTTTCATCCAGATTCGTTCGGCCGTTCTGGCGTGAAAGAGTAACAAACATCCATCCATTCTCACAAACTTTCACATTTATAAGTATTTGTTGAACTCTTACGTTTATTTGTATTATACTAGGTTCTGCATTATCGTTTTTCTTTCTCTATAGATGTTTTTCGAAACAGTCAAACTAATTTTTCGTTAACTTCTACGTAGTTACTATTGCTTTTTACCTTAGGAAAATATTAGGTTTCTTTGGCATGTGGGCAAGAAGATGTACAAAATTTCTGTTTTTAAGAGGAAAATACCTTATAGATTAAAGATATATTAAAACTGGACATTTTTTTAAATGTATATAATAGCAAAAAACTGCTTAATTGGTTGGAAGTGATTACCTACTGAGATTAAATGCCTACATGTTTAGACGTATGTATGTTTTGGAGATATGTATTCTGATAGATGATTCGGCAAATTTATTTGGCTGTGTAATGTGTTTGTTTCGAGTTAAAGAAAGTGTTCTCTTGGAATAGAAGACTATACAAAAATACTTGATGGAATTTAATGTTTAATTAAATACTATACGAGTATTATATTAAGTGATAACTAAAACATTTAATAACTTAATCTAACGTTACAATGCTTTATTCAAGGATAACATTAGGAGAAGGTATATTTCAAAATTCAATTAATACCTATTATGTACAAAGTTGCATCGATTTTTCAAAACAGAGCTTTTATTACGATAATATAATATTTGATAAAGTTTATCTATAAGAAAAAAGGTTGTTCATAGCTTATAGAAAAAAAATGATATAAAAATTAGGAATTTGTTCAGTTAATATTTTATTAGATCATAAATCAAAAATACAAAAAATAACGTCGATCCTTTGCTACTTGAAAAGAGGACAAACAAAAAGTCATCTATAGATATAAAAGGGAAAGAGGTGATACAAAATAAAATAAATACGGGTAAAGTCATGAGAAACTGCTAGTCGTCAAACTATTATAATTGCGAAAGTTACCCAGTCGTAGGTAAGTCGCGAGTTGTTCATAACAATGTTTATCATATGATATATTAGAACAAAGATCCAGTAAGTCCTTCCGACACAATGTTCTTCGCATTGTAAACATTTTTGTTTTGACTTGGCGTATGATGAATTGTGGATATGGCGCAGTATAATATAAATATGAAATATTGAACTTAAACTATTTTTCGAATTTTTATAAATTCGCAAAAAAAACCGAAAACTTTAAAGTTTAATGAAAAGTTCAGTATAATGGTTACATGAAATTGCATTGGAATAACACAAAATAAATATTACCTTGACTTCAATTAAGGCACGCGGTAGAACTACATTTTCAATTTCAGGTATAGGATATCCGATATAAATTGGTTCATTTTCCTTCCCTATAAATATAGGTGAATTATCATTTATATCGTTGACGATTAGGTTTACAAAGCTACGCCTTTCGTCATACTCAATAGTATCGGCTAGGACCCATTTATTAGAGCCATAGTTATCAGGCCCGAGTTCGAGACTCTCTGCAGTTAGTGAACGTTTTGTGGCCGGTGCTTCGTCATTGTCACAATGAAGTCTTAATTCTACTTGGATCTGAGATAAAGTCATAAAGGCGATTGATTTGTGTTCACGGTCGATGGCCCTAGTGTGTAAACCATCACTGTCTGCGTATAACCACGATTGGTCCACAGGCCAGATATTAGATAAACTATATCGGCAGTCGGGGTACTCCGTCCGGTTTAACGTAACAAGATGTTGATGAGGCTCTTCTTCAAGTCTCTCTAATACTATTAAAGGTGGCAAACCTTTACTGATGGGACATTGTGGCAAATCATCAACTCGTAATATTACCTGTTTTATTAAAACAAATGTTATAGAGCTTAACAATAATTGAATAATAAGCATTAAGATATTTTTGAAGTTATCACAAGTGTAACAAGATCATATGTATACTATATACCTGAATGAAATGAATGACTAAACGTTCTTCAGAGAAATTATTTTAAACATATAAATAGTATTAAGATCAAGTATTTAATCTTTGAGTTTTATTTTAATAAATTAAATGAAATCAAAGCTAAAATTTTACATTTATGATATATTTTACAGACCGGAATGTTGTTTAATGTGAGAAAACTAAATGAAAATTATAGGTGTATAAATATTAACTACACAAGCTAGTTCGTAGTAAAAATATCGTTGCTATATTTATAAAGACATTGTAATATTATTGTTCACAACAAAAATAATGAATAGCCTTTAAGAGCGAGAAAAACTAGCAAGACTTAGATTAAATATAATCACATATTATAATAATTCTTTTCTGGAACAAAGTTTAAAGAACAATGTTGTTTACCGGAGCAGACGCGCTGGCTTGGCTATTTTGTGCAGTCGCCGTAACACTGAAGCTGTAAACGCCCACCTGAGCCACGTCTGACAGTGAAATATCCCCATCATTATTGACTGTAATACGGCTTCTTAAGTGATCTGTAACGAAAAGATTCTTTAGACTTTAGAACAATATGAATTATTTTTACAGTTGGTTTGTTGATATGTCTTATGCCATATCAATCATAAAATCTAAATGATTCTCTGCTTATCATAATAATTATGCTTTTTAGATTTCAGATTCGATTTCCAGAATATGGTGAAGGTTTGATGATCAATGCATTATTTGTCCCGATATGACGCGTTTAAACAGACATCGGAGATAGAGGCAATATTCTTACTCATGAAACATTTTTAAATCCCGCAGATTTAACAATCAACAGGGATTATAATAGTAGCAGATACCGATTTTTGTGGTGGACCTCTCACTCTTTTTTCCAGCAAAATTTTTTTTAAGCCATAAAACATATTAACAAACACGACCCAGGGGGTTTGTCACCAAAAATTTTGCATGCGTTACAATTATTTTTATCAAAGTAGCGGCATAATTTGATTCTAGTATGTATGGATAGAGGATATTTAAACAGATATTTTATCTGTTTCATAAGCAATATGGGGCCCTAAAATATAAAGTTTCCGAAATATTTGGAAGTAATTATCGCCATATAAAAACTGTGGCAATTAAAAAAATAATTACGTACATGTTTACTGCGTTATTATTATATAAGTAATTATAGATTCATATATTAGCCAAACTTAAAAGCTTATTGTTAATGTATGAGTAAGATAAAACAACCTCATATAGAAAAAGCACGTGTTTATCATAGTTTTACTGAAAAGATAGTATCAAAATTTGCAAAAACGGAAAATAGTTTTGATAGTGGTATAATAGTTTCAATAATATAATTAACTAGCAGCTCACGTATGCTTCGATGTTCGCACTTCTAGTATAGATTTCTCAGAGATGAGATATTTTTCCTAAGTAAAAATTACCTTAAATGTTGACTCGGATAACCAGCTATTATCATATCAAATTTCATCAAAATCGGTCCAGTGGTTTTCTCGTGATGCGTTCCCAGACAGACAGATAGACTCTCAAACAGACAGATAGATGAAAATTCTAAGAACTATACATTTGGCCTGTGTGTAGATAATAATGACTATCTAAACAAGATTTTCCAAAAAATATTTACTGTACAGATTCGACTCAGAATTTTCTTATCTGTATAGATATAGATTATTCTGTCGTAAAAATATGTAATAAAAACGCATAATATGATAAATAGATTTTTTTACCCAGTGGTTAATGTGATAGTGTTAGTTAGCGCTTTCATAATTAAGTGGATTGAATAATCGGTCTTAAAGTAGAATCAGCTCTCATTCATATATATTTATAGAAACAGATTTTATTGGGAAAGAATATTTTAAATTATGTACTAGTAGGTACAATTTAAAAGATAATAATGTCTTTTTGTTCTAGCTGAATATGAAAAAAAAACTCGATAAAGATTTAAGTGATGATGTTCTCCTAGCCGATTCCGGCTACGGCGGCCAATCTCATTGAGATTAGCCAACTGCGCAGGAGATATTATAGTGCTCAAGTGTACGCGCAGACACAAGTGCACTCTCTATTCCTATCACTCTCATACCCCGGTGGGACGACCACTCGACACGACCGGTGAGAGTTAAGGCGCAGGACCGACGGCTTTACGTGCTCATCGAGGCACGGGGGTGAAACACCGCCAACTTCCCAACTCCGGGCTGTTACTGAGACTTTCTATACAGAAAGACTTAATAACTAAACTTGGCCCGAGCCGGGACTCGAACCCAGGACCTCCGGGTGTGCAGTCGTACATGCTAGCCACTACACCACCGAGGCAGTTAAAGATTTAAGTACAGTTTATATAACTATTTTTAGTATTTTGCCTTTTTTAACCATTACCAAATTGTTTGTATTCGTGGTGGGGCCAATCAATAAAAATATTTTTGAATTCATAATACGATGACTGTATCATTAAAAGTTTTTGTACATTTATTACTCACATATGTAGATATTTCGTGCCATAATAGATGTTATACTAAAGTTGTCAGAAGGCCAAACATAATAAGCCTATCATGTCATTAAAATCTATTCCTGCCCAAATCCGTAAAGCTGGGGTCTATCACGTTAACATATTATTGCTACTATAGATTAGTGAACATTGTTTATTTATGGAGTGTGGGTTACAACATTATTAATGTTCCAGAAATTACCAGATAAAGCTGCTAATTACTAGATAAAGTTGATGAACGATTTTGACGAACGACGATGAATTATTATACTTATTAAGCTCGTACAAATACAATCTGGTATCAAGTTAAATTCTGGGATAGAAATCATTTATTATTATGTACATAGGTAAATAATATTGTTTTCAAAAATACTTCGTGGTTGAATATTCTTTTTTTTTAATTAATTTTCGAAATATTGGATATATGACGATAATTCTTCTGTGCCGATAAAACTTAAATGATAAGCAAACAACGCGACAAGCATCATCAAATAAGATCATATTTTGTATAATAAATTACATTGGAGATTTAATTTATTTCAAGGTTTATTTTCTTCATTATAAATTCTTCAAATAAAAGCTTGTTTTTAAAAACCTTTTTTATATTTATTTTTTGTAAGTAGGTATAAATCAGGGTGACAGATTTTTTTAAATTAGTAAGTCAACGCATTTGTGAGAAATTTGGAATGAAGATAGCTTATATTCTAGATTAACAAATAAACATATAATGAAAATCCAAGTATATTAGTTATAATTCGTGATTCTATTTCAGATAATACATACATTAAATAGTTAAATACTTATAATTTCAGAGTTTATAGTTACCATCATTTACTCCAAGGGAATATGTCACCGTATCCCCATTGTTCGCTGTTGCTTGCACTTTTCCCACAATACCAGTTTGACCGACATTAGCCCATAGGAAGTACGATGGTTTATCGAAAGTAATTAATGGCAGATCGTCTGAAACAAAATTTTGTGTGAGGTGCCTACTAATTTTTACTTAGCAATTTTCTTAGAATAGGAAAGCCTAATTTTTAAACAGGCGCTTCTATTGTAGGTAAATGTTTGAGTATATACGAGTACTACTATTACAAGAGTAGTCACTATAACCTTGATTCAATTAACTATGCTAAGTACTGTTTTTATGTTTTTATTAAAATAAAATCATGCGATATTATTAATTCAAGTCGGGGCCTCAATTTAAAATAGATATATACAAAGGACCTACCTACTATATTTTCATTGTAATTTAGATCTTTCGTAAATATGCACCTGCTATACCTTATGTGACTTTGAATTCTTGCGAATACTATTATTTGTAATTTACTTGTGAATTTTGTTAAAGAATTCCACTGTAAAGCTTTTGCGGTTTATGCAGCGAAGGTCATTCAAGTTGAAATAAAATTCGCGTCATGAACCGTGAAATTCAGTTGGTACAAATGGAAATTTTAAATACTATTGAATATTGTTGTTTATTAAGTAAGCCTTTATAATAAATAAATAAATAATTTATATTTAATTTAAAAAAAATATTTTAAATCTTACATTATTGTTATATACGTTGAATATTGTAACTAATATACGGTAAACCTATTGTAGTCCTATATCACAATTGCTTATTAACATGAATGATAACCACAAAAATGTGTTTCTTGGTTTGACCTTGACGCAACATCGGAGATTAGATTAGACTTATTTTTTGCAGAGAGAGATAGTGTGAGACAGAGTGAGAGTGGGGGGAGGTTGTGATAGGAGGGTGGAGAAACTCAGATATAGAGGGAGGGAGAGAGAGAGAGAGAGAGAGCTGTGAATAGCGTCGCGTAGTGGAGTGTGTAACGTCAGTACACTAAAAATAATAATTAAAAAAACACGTCGGAAGCATACTTTATACATCCTCAGACAGTTGTCAAAACATTTCCACAGAGCCATAGTAATTACTAGAGTTTCCAAACTCAGACAACAATACTTAATCGTAAATTGCTATGTGTAAGAGTGAGAGAGGAACAAAACATTCGAAATGACTAGAAAGGTTTCGAATTTTCGAATACTAGAATGTCCTTTGTTTATGCATATAAAAAGGCCGGCAAGTGTGTCAAGAGATCAGTTGAATTTTGAAGCTAAGTGAAAAAGTGAAAAGTGCAGAAAAGTGAAGTGAAGTTATAGTGAAAGTGTATCTAGTGGTGAAAATTAGTGTTTAGTGACTGAGTTTAACCAGAACTGTGTGTACCGCGCGTGTTAGTGACTCTCGATGAGTCACTTTTGTTAACCAATAGCAATAAAATATCAATAGTGCAAAAGACATGCTTTAATTTCCCAACCCCGAAGTCATAGAACGTAACAATAGTTTACGGTACTGTAAAAATGCTACGGCAGATATATACTTACATATTGTATTTTTTGTGGTGCATTGTAAAAGATTACAATTCATTCAATTCGTTCATTGCTTAATAAAATACCATTTAAGGCTGATAAGTCGTTAATAAGAAATTGATAAACTTTTAATATTGCGTGGAACATTGATTAAATGATTCCAGCAGTTTTGATACTGTAACGTCTGCTTATCTATATTAATATTATAAAGAGATTTGTATGTTTGTATCTTTGGCTTTAGGGGATAATTTCTGAAATTACTGATTCTGATATTTCTTTCACTAATATGGAACCTACATCACCGCCGACTTCTATACGCTATTTCTAAAGCGATAAGAATTTGTATAAAATAGATAAATTATGTAAATATCGTCAAAAGACAAATGTAACTAACGAAAAGAACTATGCCCCATATGATTGTGGCCACTGCCTTTTTTAGAGGCTGTCAAACAATTGGTTATTTACTATTAAAATTTGAAATTGAAGAAAATTAAACTATGTACAGACTTGGGGTATGTTAATTAATATAAGTTGGATGTTATAAGGTTTTATCCTATTATAGAGTTTTAAATTTGTTTATAAAATAATATATACTAAAATGTTAAAATTCATTTTACTTCTAATTTATTTAAATAGAGTAAAATTATTGAGAGGTCAATATAATAAAAAAAATTAAGGTAAATTATTTTGTTTTGACATTATTATTGATAGATTAATATTTTTAATGCATTTATTACTATTTATTTCTGTTAATTAAGACGATGATATAAAAGCTATCGGCTCTATATTAATAATAATTAATAGTAATAATAGATATATCTATATACTCATTTTGATGTGAATTAAAGCTATCTAACATACTGAGGTGTTAATTAGTAGGTAATATTTATTTTTAACTTTTAATACATAAAACATTTGATTCGGCTGTTTAATCTTAAAAAAATTACTCGTACTCATAGTATGAACTTACTTGATATAGTAATATCCAGGAGCAAAACGGCACGAGCTCGTCCTGCTTGTAGCGTGAGGGCAGTATGCGTTAGGTCATTCGGGAAAATCGCTGAGGTGCGTACCGTCACTGATACTATGCCGTTTGATAGCGATGACTCAAATAACGAGGCATGTTCTGTAATGTTATTTGAAAATATTTACATCTCTATAAGAAAAAAAACATCTATTCAATGTAATTAAATAAAAATACAATTGTTAAAAAACGAATTTCTATCTACCTCCTAAGAGTAATATATTTTCATTATATTGTGATATAGAAATAGTTTCGTGCGATGCTAAGCCATTTGTTATTCTTCCCGTGTAAAGAATTTTATCAAAAGATTCAACTTCTTCAGGCGTTGACCCTGTTTAAAATGGAGAAAGTGATAATTAGTATTATGCACATTTATCTGTTTGTATCTAAAACTAAGACTTAAAATCAGTGCTTAGTGTAGCTTATAATATTAAGAACGAAAACCACAATAATCATTTGACTTTTAAGAAGTAAAATTAAAGGCCTTAGAGAACTGGGCACGCTAAAATCGTGTGAATTACTAACAGATAATCAAAATATGTTATCAAACAATATTAAATATTATGCTATATCGAATCCATATACTTAATCCGTGATAAGATCAAAACTGTGTACAAACATGATACATGTAAAATATATTTGACGACTATCTGTCTACTTGTGTTTTTGCCGCGTATTTGTTAAAATATTTATTCTAACGAGACTTTTAATCCATTAAATTTAAATAACAATTTTATTCAAAGAGTTTAAGTATTCTTAAATGAATATCATTTTCAGAAGAAAAATTGACATCTAAAATATTATGCCCTATTAAGCGAAGCCATAGGCTATATATACTAAATAAATAATTAATATTTTTTTGACATTATCAAGTTATTGGTAATTTAGAATACACTTTTAAATTACCAATGACATGACGATGTCATATATAAAATGGTTTGAGAGCTAAAATTATACAAACTGAAATAATTTTTAAATAAAACTAATTTTTCGGATTATTTCGCTAATTTATTGATTTTTGGTTCCCGACGTTTCGAATGCTTTACAGCAATCATGGTCACGGGAGAGACTAAGGTTATAGACGTCTCAAACACATACTTGTTACAGACAGTGCCTACCCACTATTTTACAAAAATGATTTCAAAAATTCGAAAATGGCACTAAAGTACCTTACAATATTTGTTGATTTTTATTTCTAAACATTTTAAACCAAAAATCAAAATAAATCCGCTAAATAATCCTAAAAGATAGTTTTATTTAAAATGTCAAATATTCGCGTAAATCTAAGAATGTATTATACAAACCAATATAAATTAGTATAGTGAAGTTTGTATGTATGTTATTTTATTGGAATTGCAAATTCAAATATGTCTCACACGTATGAATAATTGACAGTTGTCTTTTAAGGCTTCTAAACACATTTGTATATTTTAAAAACCGTTATACTCAAATGTTATTCAAAAAATATCTTTTTATTTATTTCCAATTTTGCTAGACTTTTGCTTTAGCTGATACATATACTATACAGACTTAGCTGTAAATAAATTATTTTTTACGAATTTAACCGATCTTTTTTAATTTTTTACCCGATTGCGGCGAAGCCCAAAGGAGAGTTATTTATTATGTTATATTCGGCTTAAGTATTTTAAGTCTATTTTTTATATTTACGATTCCATTAAAATATTTTAGGTAAGATAAAAGTTAGTGTGCTACCACCTATTTTATAAGGATGTTATCCATATAATGCTGCAATTCGAAATAATAAATGGGGAGCCATAATATATGACGTGTTAAGAAAGAAGAATTTGTATGATTTAATGTACAATTTTTTTCTCTATAGCGTACAATAGACAAATTGTATAAAAATATATAATATAGTCAGTTAATAATAATATTATTAAATATTAGACAACATGCAAGGTTTTTATTTTTTATAGTTTACTATGTTATTACATCAATTAGTATTCTATTTATTCTTTTTTTTGTTTTTTTTTTTAACGAAGAGATCTTTAGAAACTAGAAGCTCTAATGTAAATGAAAATTGGTAATGCAATAAGTAATAAAACTATATTTGGCATAAACAAACTAAACCAGAAGCGATATCAACATTAAAGCGAATTTTGGTCTTATAGTCTGAAATAGCTTCTTTTAACAATTATATATATTTTAAGTCACTTTTAAATACGTAATTTTTATATATTTTTGGGATCGCCTCACTATCCAGCCTTTATTTTGATATTCTACTCGATGGTTTATAATACGGCTTAATTGGGAGCAGAATCCGCCCCTAATTTTGTTTTTTTTATTTTTTAATTCTCGAGTTACTTAGGTAGTAAGGCGAATTTAACGACATATAATTAAATCGGTTCCGCAGTTAGGGGGTATGAGGGAGTAAATGGTCCATCCGTTTCTTATAACACATGACAAAGCTATAAACATTTATACAAAATATATACATGCATAATCAAACACATAGCCCTCTTTTTGGGCTTTGACGCAGTCGAGTATAATTACTGAAACTATGAAGAATTACAAAGTAGTAATTAGAGACCATTTTATAATAAAATAATAATTTTACCTGAAACAACTTCCAACAACAGCACAGACCTAGCGCACGCTGCCTGCAATATGAGTGTTATGTGAGTGAGATCAGGTGGCAAGATAGAAGACGCCCGCGCGCGCACTGACACCACACCATTTGATATTGACGATTCGAACGAAGACGCATAATCTGTCATAAATTAGTATTTTATCAAATATAGTCTACCCAGGCTCTAAAGGGCTAATACATGCTAAAATAGATATTACTAACAGAAACTAAAAATATGAAAGGAACATATTTATGTACAATTACTTATAATCTTTTTAATACTCCCAAGCCAACAGGGTAGTCAAAGAGTCCATGTCTTATTATTAAATGGCTTTATGGGCATTAGTTACAGTTTACTCTAATGTATTATGTTCCACTGTAATATAATAGGTGCCACCAATTTACCTCCGTCAATTAGAAGATTTGAACCACTAAAATCTCGTATCGTAATTGTCTCATGTGAAACATTTCCATCTTCCAATTTTCCAGTGTATAGGACTTTGTCAAATGTTGCACTCACATCAATTTCTGAATCTGAAACTTTTATTCCACAACACGTGTTTTCATATGTTATAAGTTTTAGGAAATGATATGAGAAAAGAAATAATATATAATTGCAAAAATATTTGTTTGATGTAAGTAGAATCAGAAGAAAAATAGAGATGAACTAAATTTAAAGTCTTTTACATATGTATTTACTTTATTGTCTCCGAATAGAATCAGTCTCTATTTTTTGAACGGAGGATTATTCTGTATTTTGTTTGAAAAATTAAAACATTGAAAAAAAAATCCTGTATGTGATGTTACAAATAATTTAAAATAACAAAATGTTTTTAGCACAATATAAAAATGTAACAGACTCACAAACTTCTAGCACCAATACCGCATTAGCTCTTCCTGCTTGTAGAGTGAGTGTGATATGTGTGATCTCGGGCGGGAGAGTAGCAGATATCCGTTTTTGCACCAACACGTTGCCGTCTAACAACGACGATTCAAAGGACGAAGCATAGTCTGTAGGGTTCACATAACACGAGCTTTAAATGTATCTGGCAAATAAGAAATGAAACTCTTTAAAACAAAAATCTGAGAATACTGTTATCTTACCTCCTGAGAGAAGTATATTTGATTCAGAATAATCTGATAATGAAATAACATCATGAGACACAACACCAGTTGTTATGTTTCCTCTATACAGGACTTTGTCGAAACTTTCAATTGTATCGATTTCAGATCCTGTAAAGAATAGGAGTTAAATTATGGAAAAAACATAGTTTGGTTTGGTCTGTATATTGTTACAGGTTCATTATACGATATGTTGATTAGTAAAAAAAAAAGTTTATTACCTGTTACAATGATATCTAGCAGCAGTACAGAGCTAGCTCTTTCCGCTTGCAGAGTCAGCGCAATGTGCGTGAGGTCTGAAGGAAACTCTACAGATGTGCGCGCCCTTATTGTCACGACACCGTTAGATAGCGACGACTCGAAAAGCGATGAATGGGCTGAAATTTTACTATATAATCTTTATAATCCTTATGAACTTGTAGGGAAGTAAAAAACCATTATCATATTATTAAATAGCTTTATAAGTGCATTTGTTACTTAAATTTAAATTTTAATAGGGACACCAGCTTACCTCCGGCAATTAGAATATTTGAACCACTAAAATCTCGTATCGTAATTATCTCATGTGAAACATTTCCATCTTCCAATTTTCCAGTGTATAGGATTTTGTCAAATGTTGCACTCACATCAGTTTCTGAACCTTAAAATTTTATTTCACAAAATATACTCAACTATGTTATAATATTTTTATAAATGAAATTTGAAAGTAAATATATGTATGTATGTATATTTGCTTAATTGTATTCATTTGGTGTAACTAAAATATCGTTATGAGCACAGTCTTATACATCTTTACCGTGGATGAATAAATGTTTTTATTACCTTTTGACTGTGCGACACTATCACTGATTCCTGACCTACCCCAGTAGGTCTTTACATCTTTGAATGAAGGTTTTCTTACTATTATTTATTTTTGAAAAATCGAAACAAACGATATCAAATCCCTACATGCCGTATTGAAAATTCGATTTTTGAGATAAAAAATATAGCAAATTATAAATATATACCAGACTCTCTAACTTCTAGCACCAGAACTGCTCTAGCTCTTCCTGCCTGTAGAGTGAGTGTGATATATGTAATCTCGGGAGGGAGAGTAGCAGATATCCGCTTCTGCACCAACACCTTGCCGTCTAATAACGACGATTCGAAGGACGAAGCATAGTCTGTAGATTTCACATAATACGAGTTATATATATCTGGCAAATAGGAAATGAAACTTTTTAAAACAAAAATAATAATAAACAATATTGTTTATCTTACCTCCAGAGAGAATTATATTTGACTCAGTATAATCTGATAATAAAACAACATCATGAGATACAACACCATTGTTTAGAGCTCCTTTGTACAGAACTTCGTCGAAACTTTCAATATTGGTTTCAGATTCTGTAAAAAAGTGTATTAAGATAAAGAAATATATATATATATATATAATTTGTTCTGCTTTATGACAGATTTATCATACATAAAGTGATAAGTATTATCCTCCTGACCGATTTCGACCATGGCGGCCAATCATTATAGACTCGACTTTGCGCTGGAGATTTTAAAGCATACAAGTACGCGCACAGATGTTAGTGAACTCTCTATACCTGTCACTCTCATACTCCAGTGGGTCGACATTACGAAATTTAGGTTCAAGACCGACGGCATTATTGATCCCTGGCTGTTAATGAGAATTTCTTATTAACAGCTAGGGATTTCTCATCTCTTATTTCTCATTAACCAAATAACTCCGGATCTGGTGTGTACATGTTCGCCACCACCGAGAAGTGAACGACTGCTAATTTTAATCATAATTTGATTAGGTATAAAGACTGCAGGAGTCGGAGGAGAAGATAGTGGTAGGAAACTTCTGATGTGGTTAGTTAATAATGATAGATAGATTTCAACATGATAACAAAACTATACCAGACTCATTGACTTCTAGTACCAATACTGCTCTGGCGCTTCCTGCCTGTAGAGTGAGTGCAACATGCGTGAGTCTAGATGGAAGCGAAGCTGATGCGCGCGTTTGCACGGACACCTTGCCATCGGACACCGAAGACTCGAAAAAAGAAGCATAATCTGTAGGATTCACAAAATAATTTATCCTATAAGTATTTCTTCGGGATAATTAATATATCATTTTAAAAGTTCAATTATCTATTATATTGTTTTCTTACCTCCTGAAAGTAGTACATTAGAATCGTCATAATTTGATAATATAATGACGTCATGAGAGACAATACCATTTTTCAGGTCTCCTTTGTACAGAATTTTATCAAAACTTTCTATTTCAGATTCTGAAAAGAGAGTAGAAATAAAGTACGTATATTGTTTGAGCATCTACTAAGTTTATAAATTAGAGCATATACAGATAGACTACTTAAATACAAATGAAAAGGTATTTGAAGAAACTGACCTGAGGAGATAACTTTCAACAGTAATACAGATTTTGCTGATCCAGCTTGTAACGTAAGCGCAATATGTGGGAGCTCAGTTGGGAAAGTGGCTGAAGTGCGCGTTTGTACTGATACTATACCGTTTGTATATGATGCCTCAAAAGACGAAGCGTAGTCTATAAAATTAATGTAAATTATTTCAGAGTTAATTTTAAAATCATTATTAATTAATATTAATTAAATTATCAATATAAAGTCTTGTTGGTTTTTATAATCAATATAATATTTCTTTGTGCCTGCCATTAATGAATTATGTAAATTAAATTTTGAAGTAACAATTTACTAACCTTCTGTGAGTAATACTTCTGAACCCTTATATTCTGATAACGTGATAGTTTCATGTATAACATTGCCATTATTGAGTGTTCCACGATAAAGAACTTCATCAAAAGATTCAATTGCTTCAACTTCTGATCCTGAATATCGTAAAATATTTCTAAATATACCTATTTTGTTAGATGTTTCGATTATAATTTAGATTATTATTTTATTTTAGTATGTACCTGGTTTTGTTTTTTCTTAACATTATAAAAAAATTACATTACCCAAGTCAAGTTTACTGTAATGAAAGAAATGTAAGTAAAATAATTTATAAAAATAAATAGAGCAAACCTGAAGAAATAATTTTAAATACTAGAACAGCTGTAGCTCTACCACCCTGCAGAGCGATAGCAATGTGTGATATCTCGGTAGGAAAAGTGGCTGAAGCTCTAGGAATGACTGATATTTGGTCATTTAATAACGTAGCCTCAAAGGAAGATGCGTATTCTGAAAAATATTTACTATATATTTGCTTGTTTTGATCTGCCTAATACATTTTAATATTTTAGTAGACTCCATATAGAAATTCTCGGAGACTACTATAAAAACCGTAAGTGTCTAAAATTTACTCTGTAAATTGAAACTTTTACAGATTAAATATCGAAATTAACCTATAAGTACCAACTTGGTACGTTTGGTACATTAAGCCGTGAATTTAGTGATCGCAACTGTGACCATGACTAAAGAAAACGCGAATTGGTAAACGACATTGTCTGATTATTATTATTGATATTTAAAGGATGGCAATAAACTACAAACATGAATTCACGTCACATTCTTGGAAAGCGAATGCCCTAAAGTACATCCTACAACTGACTCCAAAAAGGACAAGCTCCCAGGTGATGTATCTTTGTTACATAAAATTCGACATCAATAATAAATATCAAAATATCAATATTTGATATTAATAGATGTGTAATAACCGCAACAGAAAATACAATTTTCATTTCGTAAGTGATTGAAACGTATTTAAAATCTATACATATAATAAACATTTTAACTGAGTCGAATCTGTATATTAAATATTTTTTTGAAAATCTTACTGAAATAATCATCATTTTCGATACAGAGGCTGAATCTATATTTTTTTGAATTTTTGTGTCTGTCTGTCATCACGAGAAAACCACTGGACAGATTTTGGTGAAATTTGGTATGATGGTTATCCGGGTGTTATATGTAGGATATTTTTTACTGCGGGTAAATATCTTATGTCTGAAAAACTACAGTCTCGTAGTAGTCTAGTCTAGGTACGTTTAGAACGAACCCGAACAGAGCCAGGATGAGTTGCTAGTTTCAAAATAAATATTAAAGTTTGAAATTTTAATCTAACCAGTGCATTGGTATTGAGATCTTAACATTTAAACGCGAATTAAAGATCGTTAACAAAATATGTTTTTAACACACATTTGTTTTAATTTTACATACCTCCAAATAGTAGTATACTTGAACCATTATATCTTGTTATTGTAATGACTTCATGATTTGCAACACCATCTTCAATTTGCCCGTTATAAAGAACTTTATCAAAAAATTCAACTTCGTCTTCTGTTTCTGGCTCTGACGAAGAAATAAAATATTATGGTGATTACCACTAATTCAGTAAAAAATTCTTATGAAAGAATATATTTTATTCAAGTAGTGGTAATAGATACTTCACAAGTAATCCAATATCAAAAAAAACTTTTTAACATAAATTGTATTGTAGTTGTTGTCGTTGGTATACTTAATATACAATTGTGGTTTTCGTTCTTTTAGCTAAGCAAAGCTTATAAAGTTTAATTTAGTTACTTACCGATTTTCCTTATTAAACCAATATTTACTTTAAGATTACCGGTGAATATTAAAGTTCTGTGAATATTATCATAAATCGTATTAGGTATAGCCATAAAAACTTACCAAACAAAATATCGTAAATATTGTTTGAAATAAAGTATAAAAATATATTATTAGCAAATCATAAACAATTATCTATTATTATCTAAGATAAGTTTGTCAAATACTTATACGATGAATTGTATCATTGCATTGTTTCATTGCAAATATTTTTTTTCTCAAATAATAATAGTAATGAATATTATAGTGCTTGATAGCTTTTCCAACATACAAAAATATTTAATGTTTAACGAATTTATTTTTAATTGTTTATTAAAAATTCATTTTATATACGTATGTATGGTGACTATACCGGAAAAAGATAAGATAAGTGCAAGTACAAGTACGGGGAAAACCCTTTTCACCAATGCATATTTAAGGTACAATTCAATGCAATTTCATATTTGCCTCGTATAGTTAGGTGTGATTTAAAATTTTTACAACTATAAAAGTATAACGTTTCTAGAAAATTATATTTTATCAAATTTAAATTTTTACCACGGTAATATTACATACAGTATTCCATCTTCATACAAACGGTCGGAAATCGAGTTATACCTAAGTGTATCGCTTTCGGTATACACTCGGTAGACAACCGTGCGGGGCTGCCACATCATATAATTTGATACGAAAATTGTATGAGGTGGTTATGTTATGTAACTTTTATAATTGGATACAAAAACAAACATTTTATTCCTCCCGTAATTTCGCTAATGTCAAACAAAAAAGTATCGAGACATCGAATGTTTTAAAAATAAAAATTAATTAATTGAATACTATTAAATTTAACAATAAAGCTTTTTGTACGTCTCGTCGTCGTCAAATATTTTTAAATTTCAAATTTATAGCAGCCCTGTCGCGTGGGTACGTGCCGCTCGGCTGTAGGTAATTATTTTAAGGACTGGCCCGAGTTGGAATACTGTATGCATTAAATTACCGTGTTTTTACGTACCATCTGGCAATTGAAGTATAACAGTAGCTGTAGCGCCACTTGTATATTGTCTTTCTGCCTTAACAATGATGTAGATCTGTCTTTCTTTATACAATTCCTCTGGTAGGGCATTTGCTTCAAATGACACCTCATTTTCGTTGACTATTAGCTCGAAATACTGTGAGTGTTCTAAAAAAAAATATAAACGATACTAGACATATTTTACTATAGACTAGCGGCTCACCCTCGCTTCGCTCGGGTTCGCCTCTAAACAAACACTAATAGAGATCTATTAGTTCCCACGGGAACCGTTCATTTTTCCGGGATGAAAAGTAACCTGTTGTTTGACCGGTAATATAAGGTATCAGAATGTTAAATTTTACTAAATTCGGTGCATAAGTTGTTGTGTACTAAGCTGTATAAGATACTATAGTTTTTTAACTGTCCCACAGGAACTCTTTAATTTTCTGGGATGAAAAGTATTTAAGATGTTGACCGGGGATATAAGGTACCACCATGCAAAATTTCATTTAAATCGGTCAAATAGATTCGGAGATTAGCCCGTACAAACAGACAAACAGACAGAGAAACAAAAAAAATTAAAAAAATCTGGATTTGTCTTCTATTTGTCTTCTTACATCCCCCTGACTCGGTTTTTAGCATTTTTTTTGCTATTTACAGACATTCGACCTCTACTGTTTTATTATAGTATAGAAAGATAATTAATACTTTAAAATGTCATATTAAAAAATAAATCAATGGCGTTGTTGTATCAATCAATGTAATCAAAGTTCTAAAATGAGTTGATTTGGTTTCCACATAGAGATAAGTAAGTGTTACTATAGAGTGAGGTGTCACCATATATGCCAGCAATGAAAGTAAAGATCAAAGTATAACAATTTTTTAATTTACAACAAATTAACTAAATTTATGGCTAACTAGATAGTTATTATTTTATACTTACGTGTTTGAAAGCTAAACACAACTTGTTTGTCATAGCCTTGACGTAGGTAAATGGAATTTTGAAGAACAAATCCATCGTCCTTATTATAACTCGCTAAGTAAAAAGTCTGTGAGAAAATAGGCTCGTCTGGAAACTCAAAGTCGCCATCCGTTAATATTTTCACAGTAGCAGTAGCAGTTCGTCGAGGATCATTAGTTCTATCAACATCCTATAAATGGAAAGTATATTAATATTATTCATTAATTAAAAAAAAACATGCTACAAAAAATGAAAAATATTACCGTAGCTGTTACGGTGAGGATAATCGGATCAGGTATTGATCTAATGAAAGTTGTAGTTCTCAAGATTGCTTTGAATTCTTTGGGGACTGAAGAGGACTCGTCGTAGACTATTTCGAACAGTGGACTACCCTCGAGTGCGAAGTCAATTCTTTCTGTTGTGAGATCTATATCTCTGACTATAATATCGTTAACGCAGTTTGTTATTAAAAAGCCTGGTGGCAGAGGTGGGGCGATGGTGATTTCATAGTTGCTTGTTGGCTTGAATTGAGGATCATTGTTATTTGTGTCTGATACATTTATCTCGAATACCTGAAAATTGTTTAAATATTATTTACATATACAATTTAATTATCACCTGATTCTATTTATATAATTTGATTGATATTTTATGTAATAATAAGCATGGGATCTCACCAGGAGGAAAGGAAAGTTAGTTCAAATAAATATCGATTGATGGCGTCATCTGTGACGATTTTATGTACATACTAGCGACTCACCCTCGCTCCGCTTGGGTTCGTCCCTACTTACGGTTTAACGTTTAATATACATTTCTCAGAGATGAGATATTTTCCCGCAGTAAAACGTATACTATATGTTGACCTGGATAACCAGCTATCATCGTATCAAAATCCCTCCAGTAGTTTTTCCGTGATGCGGTCACAGACAGACAGACAGACAGACAAAAAATCTAAAAACTATAGATTCGGCCTCTTTATCGATAATGATGTTCTCCTAGCCGATTCCGGCTACGGCGGCCAATCTCATTGAGATTAGCCAACTGCGCAGGAAATATTATAGTGCTCAAGTGTACGCGCAGACACAAGTGCACTCTCTATTCCTATCACTCTCATACTCCGGTGGGACGACCACTCGACACGACCAGTGAGAGTTAAGGCGCAGGACCGACGGCTTTACGTGCTCTCCGAGGCACGGGGGTGAAACACCGCCAACTTCCCAACTCCGGGCTGTTACTGAGACTTACTATACAGAAAGACTCAATAACTAAACTTGGCCCGACCCGGGACTTGAACCCAGGACCTCCGGGTGTGCAGCCGTACATGCTAGCCACTACACCACCAAGGCAGTAGTAGTAGCATCGATAATAATGTATATTTCAATAAGTATTTCCAAAAAAATATCTAATGTACAGATTCAGCTTAGTTACAATTTTATTATATGTGTATAGATGTAAAGTATGTTTGTACATATTTGTTAAATAAAATAGTTCGATAGTTACATACCAACTTCATCTATCGTCTATTAAAGCCATTAAAAGTCTTTATATGAGATGGGGTATCGGATATGAGGCCGTACATGCTCACTACTATGCCAATGAAGCAAAAGAAAGGTGCTAATATAGTGTCATCTGTAAAAATAGTAAGCTACTTGCCAAAATACGTGTCGTTCCGCCCAAGCAATTTAATGTTACCGAAAAAGTAAAAGCAAATGCTGTTTCGAGTTCTTCATAAATTGTATAGTTACTATTGGTAAAAACAACGAGACGATTATTATCAGTAAATTCTACGGTAACGTACGGTCCAGCATTAAGCCCTTCATTATGAATTATATTTGAAATTCCTGTAAATGAAATCAATTATGTAGTTGTTTGATGATTTAAAGTTTTATAATTTTTGTCCGTTTATTAACTTCTATATACAAACCTACAATATCTGAAGTTGATCTATCAAAAATATTTCCACTATAAGTATCCAATATTGTTTCAGTTACTGGTAAAAGCCAATTGGTTACACCATCAATATGACAACCTGAAATGCGAAGTTACTTTAATAAAATGGAAAGAAATCTCTTTTCAAGTTGCATGATAACAAGATTAAAACGAATATTCGCATGTTTGTCCTTTATGTGTTCCTAAACCATTGATCCGATTGTGATGAAACTCTGGTGGATTATCCTGTATACGCCTACAAGTGTTCCTAGTAAAAGAAAAATAAATTTTTCTTTGGACTTTTGTCCTTTATGCAACTCTAAACTATTGAAGCTTATGGAGGCACCAGAGTGAAGCAAGGGTAAGTGGCTAGTTGTTAATAAAATGTAATAATAAATACCTTTCGTGACGCGAAGATAGGCAAATATGAAAGCATTAAAAAATAAACTTTTTAGTAATAGCCCCATGTTTAATATTGGCTCGATATCACATTATAGACGAAAAATACGATAACTTCTACAATAAGTACAGTTTACACAATTAATACAACTATTTTAAGTAAATCACTAGGATGTTTTGTAAAGAAATAGAGGCGACACTCTTTGTAAAAGCGTATACAAAACTACATATCTTTATATTCATTATCATGTATGCCTGTATTTATTAGATAGTGTTATGACGATGATTAACTTCCAATCTATCGATTGATATCTTTGCGATGAAATTTGATACTTATTATATCGTCCTTAACAAACACTTAGAAGATATAGATACAACTACTTACCAATTACGAATTTTATTTAAATTTACGCTAAAATGAGATTACTATTTACATATAAAAATGAAAAAAAAGATATAATAATAATATGTTTATTAATAATAATATGCTTATTATAAATAATAATGTTTTATTTTAATACACTTTATTAGCTTCACTTGTAACTAAATAACAAATAATGTAATCAAATCTTGAAAGTCATTCTTAATCTACTTTGGAATGTCGTATTAAAATGAAATTTTTGAATGTACATGTAGTTCGAATGACAATACTATAATTTGGTATCTTAGAACTGATGTAATGATGCAACCAGGAGGTGAATAGTGGAACTCTCCAGTGGCTACGAGTAGGCTCCACGAGTTTGGCCTCACATGATTTGTCTTCGCGAGTCCCAAAAGTCCAAAAATTCAATTCATCAAAAGCGGGTTTTTTAGTCTTTTAAAACTATAATAATTATTATTAGATTCACTCGTAAGTAAAAATAACTCGTAAATAAATAATAATGTAATCAAATCTTGAGAGTCAATTTTAACCTACTTTATATTGTTATATTGGAATGAAACTTTGTATGCACATATATGTAATTCGGACGACAATATTATAATTTGGTATCTTGGAGCTAATCTGATGGTAGAGACAGGAGGTGGATAGCAGAATACTTCAATGGCTTTAAGTAAGTGCCTCGTATTTGGGCTTATTTGGTTCGTTTTAACATTTCCAATATGTTGAAGTTTGTCATAAGCGTGCTTTTTGTTTTTCTAACTATAAATATTTAATTTCTTTTTAATATTTAAAGAATTATTTAATGTAATTAATATAGAAATTAATTAGTTTAGGTACGTCCATTAGTTTATTTTATTTAGTGCGTTGATTAAATTATATCGTGCTGTTAAAAGCGTGAAGTGGCAAAAACGATGATCATTTGCTTAAGAATAAGATGAAAAGATTACAATGAAGATTTTTACAGGTTGCGATAAACATTATACCCTTATAATATCCAAAATTCAGGTAAGATTATGGTATTTATTTGGATTATTACGGTTCGTCTGTTAACTTAAGCTGTTACTTAACTGCTGAATACCGTTTTAGAAGTGAAAAGAGGGAATCATTGAGCGCAATACAAGGTTGGTACGTTGAAAGGTTATGGTGAAACGAAATTTAGTTTAGGGGCTAGTTTGGGGTAGCTTTTAAGCTAGGAATCCTATTTGTAGGTGATAGTTTAAGGGATGTCGGTGAAATCGGGCGATTAAGTTTTGTCCTCTGTTGTCCCTCGCGAAGACTTTTTTTATTCAAATCCAAATAAATCGCCTTTTAAGAAATTATCTTCAATTAGAAAAAGAAATCATTATTCAAAACGATTTATAATCCTTAATGCTAACGTGTAACGTTTAAAAAATGAAAATAGGCAATCTCCTTCTTCAAAATCGTTATAAAATATTTGATATTACTCAGTGAAAAAGATACCTCACTACTGAGTTGAAAAATAGTATTGTTATGGGTCATCGAGAAATTAAAAAGTCTTAAATCTTCAGTGACAGTAGGTATTTTTATTTTAACAGCTATCTTGGATAAGACTTGCCAAAATTAATGATTATTTAATTATATTAATTAATTTAAGAATTAGGTAGAATGTTTGGGCCAGTTATACATATTTAAATATTTTAGCTTTGAATTGTTCTCTTGTGTTTTGTCTCTTATATTCAAATCTTATAACTTCTGTCTCATAACAAAATAAAACCATACAGTAAGTGTAGTGTGTAAGAGTGACTCTTATTAAACTATTTTTCCATCTTACTCCATCTTTTGGTTGCTTTTTACTTTTTAGCCACCTCATCCATTCTCTCCCTTTCAAGGATGTGCATTGTATACTGTAATGCTTCAATCTATTATATAATAGATCAATGGAGACTATCCGTAGCTCTTTAAAGGGTGTAACCAGTTTGAATCTAATATACATGTTATGTAAGTACTATTGGGATTTATTGAAAGTACTACTTTGTGTGAAGGTTTGTAATGCTTTAATTATAATGGCCGTCAGTTCGGCTTGGTACACGGGTAGTAGCTCAGGTAGTAGTTCAGTGGTGTACAACTTACTTACCATACCTTACCTTCAAGTCCAAAAACATAAGATAAAACTTTTATCGAGGACGTTGAACTATTTTGTATTTTTTATTAATTATTGCTTTAGTCATAAGAAAGTATTGAAGGGAGGTCCGTGCCTAACAGTGGGACCTTAAAAAAGGCTGAATACATAAGAATGTCGTAAATTATTGTCATTGTTAGAATATCATCGTCGAAAATCGTGTAAAAGGAACATAACTATTTTTTGAATTCCTTTTAATGTCAAATGCACATAATACGAAAATATTCATCCTTCTATTGTATAACAGCGAAGTTATAATTATTGTCCCCAATAACATTTTATTTTAGTTCATAAAAAATATCCTATAGAAAATACCTTTTACAGTTAATTCCCAATTTCCTAATATTTCCGGAAACTTTTCCTACTTTTCCCTAAAAACTTCAAATTACTGAGAAGATTTAAAAAAAATACCAAACCGGTCCAGCCGTTATCAAGTGAGGCGCTTACAAAAAAAAACAATATTAGTTTTATTACTTATATAGAGTATGTATTTATGACAATCGCTTAGTGTTTGGAGTACTAAGTTGATCTTTGTAGTATATAAAATAATAAAATATATTAAGTTTTAGTTTGTCAAAATTAATTATCTAAACTATACTCTATCAGAGCTTGATTTCTTAAAGAAAAATTCAATTGTTTTTTTAAACCCCCGACGCAAAAAGAGGAGAGTTATAAGTTTAACGTGTTTAATCTGTGTGTCTGTGTACCTGTCTATGGTGTCGTAGTGCCCAAACGGATGAACCAATTTTAATTTCGTTTTTTTTGTTTGAAAAGTGACTATAAATTATGAAAATTCATACAGCCATTTGCAATCAGTCTTTTCTCGACGGTAAAAGGATATGAATAACTTTCACAGATCTAATCGATTCGAAACTTGGTATCTCGTCACTTTAATGATATATAATAAGGTAACCTAGAGCTAATATTGCAGCGTTACCTGGAATCTGTAAGATACTCAAACGTTTACCAAAATACGGCAAAGAGTAAAATTCCAGTTTTAATTTTTATCAAGATAGATTTCCAAATAGGTCCAACTTATATAGACTTATAGGTAGGTATACTAAAGAATATTTCATAAGCTTCTAGAGCATAAACTAGATACCTAATTAATAGAGGTACTTAATATCTAATAATTATATATTAAGGGAGTCAAGGATAGAATTATAAATCATCATCTATTTTATTATTTTTACATCTTAAAGTATTTTTGTATAATAATTTTAAGGTTTTAATTCAAAATCTTTGGCTTTAGTTTAAAAAAAAGTAATAAAAATTAAGTAAGTAATTAGTAATAGATCAATTTCGTCACTCGTCACAAGAAATAATATATATGTTTTTTACTTCTATACATATAATAAAATTGTAACCAAGCCGAATCTGTACATTAAATATTTTTTTGGAAAATCTTATTGAAATAGACATTATTATCGATACAGAGTCCGAATATATAGTTTTTAGAATTTTTGTCTGTCTGTCTGTTACCGCATCACGGAAAAACCAGTGGAGGGATTTTGATGAAATTTGGTATGATGATAGCTAGTTATCCGGGGCAACATATAGGATACTTTTTACCGCGGCAAAGTATCTCATTTCTGAGAAAAGATACAAAAACTGCAATGTAAGCGTAAATTAATATGTAGAATCTAAGAATTCGGTTTTTGGTCATCTGAACGCGGGCGTAACCGCGGGCAGTGCTAGTCTTACTATAAAACAGGAACCAATATACTAAGATGTGTAAAAGAGTTATTATTTTTTATTATTAATACTTTATGTACATTAATTAAATGAATACTACAAAAAGTATTTCTTGGGCGACATAATCACTGAGTGATAAAGCTACTTTAAATAAAGAGAAAAAAAAAGTATTTCTAATAGAGCTTTATTATAAATATCATATACACCATAAACTATATATCAAATATATTAAAAGTTTTCATTTCCATTCATCAATATCATCATTTACATGTTCTATGCTGCCTTGAGGTTTCCTGTTCACACTTACATTGAGAGATAAAAGTTGCTGCATAGGCAATCTTGGTGAAAGATTCACCATACTGGCCCACTGTCCTGAACATAACTCAGGGAATTTTAGCTTTTTCAAGAAGTGCCCCTCTAGATACCAAGGCGACACGCACGTAGGCGAATAATCCCATATTTTCATTTCATTTAAGCGTACCCATCTGAAATAAATTATTATTATTGTTTGTTAATTCTTTTGGGATTTGCAATTAGTATTTGAATTTTGGTACCTTTCTAAAAATCTTTTCTGTTTTGTATAAAAAAATAGATTTGTTTTTTTTATTAGAACAAAGGAAATGTCGCATTCCTATATGATAAACCGATACTAGACAAATAAAGTATGCTATCTTCTCGCGATAACGTAAATACGAATAAAATTAATTAAAAATAATAGACTATTTGACAACACGTTTAGCTCAGTTTGTAGTGAACCTACTTGCTGCGCCAGCGGTCGCGGGTTCGAGTCCCGTTGGGGGCATTCATTTGTGTGATGAACACGAATATTTGTACTCCAGTCATGGGTGTTTATATTTATAATATGTATGTATTTAAAAGTTATATATGTATGATGATGATGTTCTCCTAGCCGATTCCGGCTACGGCGGCCAATCTCATTGAGATTAGCCAACTGCGCAGGAGATATTATAGTGCTCAAGTGTACGCGCAGACACAAGTGCACTCTCTATTCCTATCACTCTCATACTCCCGGTGGGACGACCACTCGACACGACCGGTGAGAGTTAAGGCGCAGGACCGACGGCTTTACGTGCTCTCCGAGGCACGGGGGTGAAACACCGCCAACTTCCCAACTTCGGGCTGTTACTGAGACTTACTATACAGAAAGACTCAATAACTAAACTTGGCCCGACCCGGGACTCGAACCCAGGACCTCCGGGTGTGCAGCCGTACATGCTAGCCACTACACCAACGAGGCAGTTTATAGTCAGTTTAGTATATATGTATAATGTATCAACTATCTGGTATCCATAACACAAGCCTCGTAGCTTACCATGGAACTAGATGGTGTTGTGTGTTAATGTTCTGACATATTTATTTATATTTATTTATTTATTTCACTTACGCAGATATATAAAGTGCGTGACAATCACAATGCCAAGGATTGTTCGAAAGTTTCACGTTTGCCAACTTCGGCATATAATCCAAAGTTCGTGACGGGAGTGATGGGAACATGTTGTTATCCAAATATCTAAAAAAATTAAAGACACTTTATTTGTACCAAAATATAATTTTATATTTAATGTATTGTACATATTAAAATTTATTTTTGTAACATATACTTATAATAAATGCTTCAGTCAAATAAAAAAAATCTAAGTTCGAAAGCCTCGTCTATTAAGTCCCATGTTCTAGGTTAGGTCTAAAATTATTACTGGCTGTCAAATAATTCGTAGTGATAGCCGTAAACAAGAATTTGATAGTATTACTGTAGTAACCGTATAATATTATCACTAATCCTATATACACACACAAATACACATGAGCTTTGGAGAGTGCGTAAAAACCTGTGCCTGATCTCTTTGTGGATGTGTAAAATCATTCCTTACAATTCCTTCTTTGAGCCGTACAGAATATCGTAGATACAGAGATTGGTGGAGGCCATTATAAATGCATTTCCCAACGTTCAAGAAAATGGCTAGTCAGTTAAAATTTTTAGTAGTAAGCCGATTTCCAGATGCAAAGTGTGGTCATTCTTATTTGCCAAACAATTTTGTATAGTACAATTGTCGTACGATAATAAAAGTCAAATAATATGTTTAACTTTCATGCCAATTGAAATAATTTTAAATGGCTGTTACGGATTGTGCGTACAAATAGGAAAATGTAAACTAAATCAAACTAAAGTTTGATATCAGGGCGTCGTTTTGTGTGTATTTCACTCCTTGATTGTTCATCAAATATTTACCGACGTAAACTGTGGAAAATTCGTAAATAATATATTTATGTAAGATTTATGATTGATATTCAAAAGATTTAAAATCCTTTATGTGATTTAATTAAAATTTATGTATGTTTAACTATAAACAGTAATTATAAATAATTAAATTCATTAAAACTTACAAAGTAGTAAGATTCTTTAAAGTGGCGAACGTTTTAGAGTGAACCTCGTAAATCTGGTTGTCAGACAGTATTAGCGACGTAAGATTCTGTAAACCGTGGAAAGCTGAAATATTCAAGAAGCGTAATTTGTTTTTAGATAAATCGAGTTTCTCTAGATTCGTACAGTTGTTGAAAATATTGTCTGGAATATCAGATATAAAGTTTCCTTTTAAATCCAAGTTGCGAAGTTGCCTCAAATTTTGAAATTCCAAGCCTGTCAACTGAAATATTTAATATTTATTCCGAAATTGTTAAAAAGTGACACATTATTTAATATCTTATTATTGACAATAATAAAAAAAATAAAAATATATATATATATATATATATATATATATATATATATATATATATATATATATCACGTTATGTAAAATGTTGGAACAGTAAACATCATTTTTCTTAAAGCTATGAAATTGTATTATACAGAAATAAACTTACGCTTATTATGTGATTATTTGATAAATCTAAAAAAGTTAGGCAGTTTAGATTGCAAAATAAATTATCCGGGATATTTTTTAAGTTATTCTTATCTAATAACAGCGTTTCCAAAGAAAATAAGCTTTCAAATGCATTGTCAGTGATATTGCTTATTTTGTTATCTGATAATTTTAATATTTGAAGGCTCATCAACAGGAACGTGCCATTTTCTATTTGAAGTATCTTATTTTTTGAAAGATCTAGGATCAATAATGATTCCAGTCCAACAAATGTATAGGAAGGTATATAAACAATTTGGTTGTTTGAAATATCGATAGTCTCTAAGTAAGAGTTATTGACAAAGAGCCGCTCTGGGAGAGTGTACAAGAAGTTATTAGATAAATCAACATGAAAAAGTTTTTTTGTATATCTGAACGCCTCATTATCAATTTCTTCCAAATAATTCCGCTGTAGACGTCTGAAAAAATTAGATAGGTAGATATGTAAAAAAATATAGATTTTCGATAAAAAGTGTTTGTTTAAAAACGTTGAATGTCATCAAGGAGTTAATAGATTATTATTTATATACATAGGGAACAAAATCTTTCGAGAGATAAAATTTATTGAAGAGGAAAAATTTGGTAAATTAAAAATTCTTGAATAGGTGCTCGCTAAAATTTGCTTCGAAAAATTAAAAGTAAATTTGGTCTTGCTTCTGGGGATTCAATGTACTTGTAAGTCATGATTCCTGTGCCATGAACATGTATGAAATTAATTAAATACACAAAGATACTTACAATATCCGTAAATTAACAAGGGAGTCGAAAATCCCTGAAGGTAAGAATTCGACGTGATTGTCAAACATATCCAATTCCGTTAAAGACCGCATTCCTTTAAAAGTGGTTTTATGCAATGTACGCAGCTTGTTTGTGCCGAGGTCTCTGAAATTTTTAGAATTTTTATTACGTTTATTTAAATATATATTATTGTAATTTGTTTTTGTGCACATATTTATCGGTTTTTTTTTCGTTGAAAAACATAACTTCTAATTTTCGAAGATATTTAGAAAGTGCGAAGTTGCAGTTTCTAGAGATGTGTTTTATTTTAACCAATGTGGAAGAATCATTTGCCAGTATTTTAAAAGTTTTTTTATTACTTACATTGTGTATAAATCAGCTGGTACAATTAAATCTGGTGAAAGGGTGGTGAGACCAGCTCTCCAGCACTTTAGCGATCGATGGGACACGTCACATCTACACATGCCTTTAGTACATTGACGCCATCGTGATTGTCCAAAGCTTATAGTCCACACTGAATTACAAGGAACACGAAAGAAAGTAAGTATGTACAAAAGTTAATATTTTAATATTTCGCTTAGCTTTTACCTGTGACTTCGTGTGTGTTTATGAATGTAACTTTGGTACGTACTTGACTCCGTTTACTGTAAGGTCTACTAAACTAATCAATATAAACCTAGCTTTAACAATGGAATCGTAACAATTAAATATTATAAATCGGAATTGCGAAACGAGAAGTTATTGCAAAGTTTGAATTTGTCTTTTATTTTTTACTATATTTGGGGTAACTACCATAGCATAAAATAAAATTTCAACTGTCAACTATCACGGTTCGTGAGATACAGCCTGGTGATAGACAGACAGACAGACGGACGGAAAGCGGAGTCTTAGTAATAGGGTCCCGTTTTACCCTTTTGGGTACGCAACCCTAAAAATGGAACCTCAAACTCAAACTTTGTCGACTCTGTATCTCTTTATGCAAATAAAATATTTTTTAGGAGAAGATGAAACAATGATATAATAGCCATAGTATGACGAGGTTAGATTACTAAAGTAAAAAATCTGGGCCAAACTGGAGGAGGCCTATACCAAATCTGGGGGTCCAAACCATTAAAAAGTAAAAACAACAAAAACAAAAAATACTTTCTCCAATTGAAAATAAATAAAGGGCTTATTATTATTATCATATTATTAAATCTCATGTTAAGTGTCGAATGTGTTGCTAAAAGCACAGTTACCTACTCAGATTTGATCATCTTGTCAGTCAACTGAAAAGACAGTCAAATTTATGATAATTATTATTTATTATTGAACATTATTTAGGTCTCAGGAGAACAAGTATCAAAGGCTTATAATGACGAAGAGTTTAATATTCGGAGCAGGATCACGAAAGCTGCAATAATATTACTGGTGAATATCATAGAGATTTATCTATTGTAAGATGACACTAATAAAACTTCGAGGTATTTCTTGCGTATATTCTTATATACACTTAGCACACTATATATAAGGTACACAGTACCTTACACTAATTATAAGTATAAGGCTGTCATCCAAATTCACACCAATACACTCTTGCTTATATTATGACTTTCTTCTCTCCTCATGATATAACTATCCTTAAAAAAAATACCAAGCTAATATTAGTCCCGCTGAGTTTCTTTCGCCAGTTCTACTCAGGTCTGAGGCTTCTTCTTTCCGAACTGGTACTAGACTCATGACGTTCTGAGTCATGACGTGACGTTTTGAATTTAAATTTGAACCATGGTAACCTATTAATCTTCAGTTTCTCTGTTACTGATGCTACTTTCAAATTTCCTATAATTTAGAATGAATATACATACATATATTATATACTATATATGATCCGTAAATTACAAACAACATTATGACGTTCTAACAACAGCTCCTTGAACTAAGAGATACCCAGACATATACCCGACATTATTATCGATACAGAGTCCGAATCTATAGTTTTTAGAATTTTTGTCCGTCTGTTTGTCTGTCTGTTACCGCATCACGAGAAAACCACTGGACAGATTTTGATGAAATTTGGTATGATGATAGCTGGATATCCAGGTCAACATATGGGATACTTTTTACCGCGGGAAAATATTTCATTTCTGAGAAAAATACAAAAACTTCATTGTAAGAGTATACTAATATGTAAAACCTAAGAATTTGGTTTTTAGTCATCTGAACGCGGGCGGAGCCGCGGGCAATGCTAGTTTGACATAAGGCAATATGTTGACATCTGTTTTGATTTTTATTCTAAAACCTACTTCAGACGTTATATTTTGGTATTTACGATAAAAAACTATTAAAAATACTGGGAAATATAAGAATTGTAAATTGATAAGTTTCATATTTGGAAACACAGAATTAAATAGCGTAATACTTAAACGAAATTGCCAATTTAGTTACAAAGAGCAGAGAATAAGAGAGCTTGATGGTACGCGAATTAAAACTCATTGTTATACGAATAGATGCAAGTTTTTTTACATTTGATTTGTTCTAAGCGATTTCTTCCATTTCTATTTCAACATAGGTATAGGCATAATGACACTGTAAAGGTTGAAACTGTATAATAAATAGTTTTTGAAGTAATAGGCAGGTAGAAGCCGCAAACCTAGCCATCATTGGATTTTATTACTGCTGTTCATCATGATCATATTAACACTTAAGTTGAAAACATTTTTTTCCCCAAGAAGGACTCGAACCCAGAATCTCTAGCGTAACGACAATTAAAATTATATTTTTATTGAAATTTAATTAAAAAAATTGTTCGGATACTTTTATTAAGTTAGCTCTTTGTTTATATCGAGTCCTACACACTAGTACCGCCGAAAATCTGTATCATAGCCTGTATTGCTTACATTACAAAATGGCGCCTAAAGAGGTTTAAGTATGGATCAAATCAAATCAAAATATTTTATTCAGCATTAAATTATTACAATTTTTTACTGAACGTCATGAGTCTACTACCAGTTCGGAAAGAAGAAGCCTCAGACCTGAGAAAAACTGGCGAAAGAAACTCATCGGGACCAATATCTTTTCTTAAAGTATAATCTTTTTTTAAAGTAAAATTATAATTTACAATATTTCTATCAAGTTGAAGTAGCCTGGAGGCGATCATTTCATTCCCAAGGTGTGCCATCTTCTATAAAATCCTTTTTAAATAATACACATATTCTGTGATGTCAGGTCAGTTACAACGTTTTATTTATAGTAATATAAGTTCACTCTTATGTATTTATTATATGTATATTTTATGTACCTATAACAAAAATATATTTGTTTATTCACCTGGCTGTTCAATAGCTTGTAAGCGTCGGTCTAGCTTACGCCAATGAAGATCGCTAGTACACCCTGTGTTGATCGGTTGACCAGGCCTTTGTCCCGAGGAAAATATTTCCAGGACATCACAAGGAGACAGGTTACATTCAGTGTGCCCTATATAAGTACAGGATAATATATTAGTGTTTAATGTCAAGATAAGTTTTAATTTTCCTAAAAATAATTTCCGCTACCGGTTGACATGACCGGTTGAAACTATATGTTAATAATGTAGAGTAAAAAAAATATATTTCAGATTTCTCTTTGACCTTGAGATTCTTCTGACATTGTTTTTTAATGTGCTATATTGAATTCGCGACCTAGAGGTTCATTTAATTAGACATAATTCTACTATGCAGATGAAGGGCGAGAAAACATACTTTATCTATTACTATTCTGAGTCCCTTTAAAGTATTTTAATTACAAATATAAGTTTACTTGCCTTTTACAATCATGTTATGGGACAGAGGTTTTAATCTAGACCTAAAAGTGGTTTCCCAAATATAAGTAAAAGATATTACGTGAGTTTATCGAAAAATACTATAATATATAATAATAAAATAACAATAAAAACCTAAGTGAAGTGAAAGCGGGGTTCTAGTGGTTACATATCTTTAAAATGTATGAATATAAATGTGTTAAACAGTATAGAATCTAAAAGTAACTATAAATATAACTGTCGAATAGGTTTTACCTTTTATTTTAACAATTTGTAGAGCTAGTAATATAACTACCAAATTCATGATGTTGATGCGGACCACTGATCACCTCTGGACAATAGTACTAAATCGCAAGACCCATACGCTTTTGTCCTTTTGTTTATCTAGTGCGTGTATTATGCAATATGGTAATTCTCATATTATACTTATTGACGTAAACAACTCGTTAAATAATTATGAAATATGTTGATGTTTAAATAGTTTTAATTGTTGATCTAATAGTAATTATATCCTTTATAATAAGATTAATATACATATATTTAAAATTTTCCGTTATGATTCGCGCGCTATCTTAAATTGTCACGTAATAGAATTTTTACTTAACACGAGGAACAATCTCAAGAAGCACGATTTTTTTTGACTTAGTAGAATGGTGATGAAATGAATACTATACATATATACATACTATATAGCCTATATCCATCTGGAATAATGTACCTTTCAAATGGTGAAAGACATTTCAAATATACATCGTACAAACAAAATTCTCACTTAACAGTTATGATCGCCTGGTACTTTTGTAACGAGTACTAGGGGACCACAAACCTTGAGGTTTTTGGGTTTTATGGTGTTTGTGAGGAGTACTCATTATTTATTTAGAGTCCCGTCATAAGGTAAACTCCTTAACACTTATGATCATCTGGTACTTATATTGAAGTCACATGGGGTGCTCTTAGTAAATAATAAAAAGTGTCGTGACGGTAAAAATATTACACTTTTTTTCTGTCTAGTTATCATTCGCCAAGTGTGCCGAATAATTTGCGATAAAGAACTTCGTTCTAAAAGTTTTACCGTCACATGGTATATTAGATGAAAAGGTATGCTACGTATTTAATACGTATCATTTATATGTTACAATAAAATTCTAACGGGTAATATTGCCTTTTCATCGAAGTTCACGATTCTTTACAAAAAAATTTATTTCAACAATAGTGATTGTGAATTTTCATTGACACGTTGTACCGATACTTTATGTTAGATGATAAGACCAAAAATGTTTGTACATGACTTTTATACTAGTAAAAAATCTACTTTTTTTTTAAATTGCCTGTTATTTACATTAAGCACAAAATAACAAAATATCCTTCTCATTTTATATTGAAGTGCGTACTGCGGAGTTTTCAAACTATTTGCTATAGGTGCATGTTTGTATTTATATAATCAATTGTAATAAAACGTGAATCGATGGTAATATTTTATGCATTGTATATAAATAAAAGATTCAATTTTAAGATAACAACCAATTCAAATTTTAATTACTTAACTTTATTACAATTGCTAGCGGAAGATTCATTACCCGAAAACAGTTTAGTGAGACGCAATGTTGGGAAATTGCTAAACTTCTACGAACATTGATTTTATACCAAAGGAAACAGTTGGCGTTCGTGACCTCGAACCTTTAGTATGAAGTCCGGCCGATTGTTTCTTTAAGAAATTGCAATTATAAATGAAATGAAATAAAATAAATGATAAAATGAAATAGAAATTAAAAAAAAATTGAAAAAAAAAATCACGTGAACAAACAGAGATTTCAATATGATTCATAAGAGAATAGTTATTTGATTCTACTCTATTCATTGTTCTAAGCTCCTTTTACTTTTTTGGGTATCATTTATATAGGACTACATTCAAGTACGAAAAAAACAATATATATATATATATATATATATATATATATATATATATATAATTAAATGTTTAGGTATATGGAAAAAAATATAATTATTGTAAAATAATTCACAATGCGTAAATAAAAATAATAATGAACAAATGTGTAAAAACATGTAGAGATTGAAATATTTTATAAAGCGTACTTTCGATTAATATTTAAAAAAATAAATAATTTTGGATTAATTAGTACTAGCGACTCACCCTCGCTTCGCGGGTTCGTCCCTACTTACGTTTTAACGCTTAGTATAGATTTGTCAGAGAAGAGATATTTTCCTGCAGTAAAAATTATCCTCCTATCATTTGATAATCATAATAACATATATGTTGACCCGAATAACTAGCTATCATCGTACCAAATTTCATCAAAATCCCTCTAGTGGTTTTTCCGTGATCCGGTAACAAACAGACACAAATATTCTAAACACTATATATTCGGCCTCTGTATCGATAATAATGGACAACTTCAATAAGACTTTCCAAAAAATATTTAATGTACAGATTCGACTCAGAATTTTATTGTATACAGTATAGATACTCGTATATCAAAATCCAAAATTGCATTTCTTATTATCTTTGTATGACTGTTTAATCAAGCATCATATATTAGTGTAGAGGATAGCTAGATTTAAAAGCAAATGACTGTTTTAAGCTCTCGTTTAGAACAAATAATAAAATCAGTTTTACTCTAAAAGTGTTCCAATTTGCAAGAGAATTCTTTAGCAGTTGCCAGAAAATTATGACTTGTTACATATTGTTATATGCGCTCCGCAATTTTAAAACTGAGTAGTAATTAACCAGTTAACTGAATTGATTGCGTCCGTCCAAGCATAGGTTTAAGCAATTTTCTTGTAAATATATCCATAGGCTTATGAAGAGACTAATTTAAAGTTAAAGATACATACACATAAACTTTGAAATTCTGTATTAGTAGTAATTTTGTCAGGTTTGTATTTTAACAAGATCTCATTTTATCACTGGCTAATAGGCAAATAATTTGAAATTTTACTAATGAATTTTAAGTTAAACAATGAAGGTAAAAGCTCTTAAAACTAAAGTATAGGTTATTTAAGTTAGCTTATTAAATTATGTAGTTAATAGCGACGAACTCGCTTCGCTCGGGTACGTCCTAGGTACGTTTTAAATATAAATATGTAGTTATTGCGAGTGTACGTCAGGAGATAGAGTCGTGCTTGATATTGCGGACTTTTCTATAGACCCTTTTAAACCTAGTTAAACCTTGTTCAACCCTAACATGTTTAGCCATTGTTAACCATGTAAACTAAGGATGACTCGAACCAGTTAATTTGTTTTTCCGTGGAAACGAAAAATTTTCATATAGTAAAAGGTATACTAAATGTTGACTCGAATAATAAGTTATCGCTACACAAAATTTTGTTAAAATCGATTAAGTATTTTTTGAGTGAAAAGCACACAAATGTGCAGACATGCAGACAAACAGACAAAAATTGTAATAACTATTGTTTTATGTATATGCTGTACACAATATGTTACAGTCATTGTTTTTAAAAAATATTTCATGAACAGATTTCGCTAAGTTACTGTTTTATTATATGTATAGATATAGATGAAATACTAAATATTTGGTTAAACACGTATTCTTCAAAAAAAAACAAAATAGATATTGTTAAAGACAGTCAAAATAAAGCGCACATAAAAAGAAACTTTAAAGAAAAGTTGTTGAACTTCTGTCAATAAAAAGTTTAATTACCTCTTATAGAGTAGACTATTATATTTAGAATATAATCATAGTACGAACTACAAACTATCTTCGCTCAACGGCTTCAGTTGTCTACACAATTTTGAAGCAAGCTTGTTTTAGAAATCAAAATTTTGCATGTACATATGTAACATACCTTACAAATAACTTACTAATTTCACTTATTATTCTCAGATTAATATTACTTTGAATGAATGAAATTCGCAGACAGGAGTTAAACTTTATCCTTGAATCATTTTTTATATAAAATATAATATAATTTCATTTTTGACTCTCTTTTCTGCAAGAACGTTTTCATTCTTCTTATCTAAACATATAAATAAAATTGAAGTGTCTGTTTGTAATTTAAAAATAACAGGTTTTTACAAAATGCCTAAGAAATTAAATGAGGTACTTATAAAAAACATCATTTTTAATTTTTTGTCTGTCTGTCTGTTGTTCCGGCTAATCTCTGAAACGGCAGGACTGATTTTGACGAGACCTTCACTGTCTTATAGCTGATTTTATAAAGTATAACTCAAGCTACTTTGTTTTAGAAAAATAATTAATGTTCTGCTGAAAAAAATTAAAACAGACCGAGGAACGCACCCGAGCAAAGCGTGGGTAAGTCGCTAGTATAAACATACATTTTTAAGTTGTTACGTAACAAAGTATTAAAAAATCTCTTGTGACATGGGATGTACAAAATCAATCACAAATGTCAAATCTTTGGAAGTATATAATCTCGCTAAAGTTAATAGACACTTGGCTTAATTGAAAACAACACAGAATATAATTTATTATTCGTTGGCTACACCGGCTAGAATAACGTAGTATTATTTACCTTTTTTATGTAGGTATATTATTTACCCTTGATGTAAAATGTAAGGAAATAGAATTAAAAAAAAACTTAAAATTAAGGGATAAATCTGTACATAAATAAGTTCACGACCGCTCTCATATAAAAAAATCAAAATACTAGCGTAGCACGTATTCATTCCTATGCCTGGAGACTGAAACGGAATATGATGACCATTGCAGTGAATTCTTATGCATTTTCGTAGTTCTCGGGAGCTCGTGCTCTCACATTGTCTCATAATTTATTGAAGATAAATCCTTTAAATACTGATATTTTGTCCCAAAGAACTGTATCTTTAAGCTTAAATTGCAACTATTTTAACCAAAAAATTACAACTTTAATAAAGTTAAGATTTTTTTTGTAATTTACTGTTTCAATGAAAGTTCTAGGACTTTTTTGACTATTAGAAATAGACTTAAATATTTTTTTAATAACAGCCTTTCGACTAAGGGATATACAAGGCGTCCTCCTACAATCGTTAAAGAATGCAAATGTAATAAAAATGGGAATGACATTTTATGATTCTGTGATAACGATATTTTCATTTCAATACATTTTCTTAAATTCCTATTTTTCAACGATTATAGAATAACATCTTGTCTAAGCATTATTTTTCTACTTTATAAATATTCCCAGAGATTTGTTCTCATTTAATAAAAACATAAGGCCACTCGTACGTACTACAGAACTAATATATTTTTTTTAACATAAAATCAAAACCGACTTCCAGGCACTAAAATGTAAAAAATAAATGAACAGAGGTTTTCATTTAGAATA